GGCGAGGAGGGAATATATGAACTCTTAATAAGATCTCGTTAATAAAATTATAATTTCATTAGCGAGATTCTTAAGAAATTGTAAAATTTCTATTACACTCATCTTATTAAGAGTTCATATTGCATGTTTAAAGTAAATAACCTCAGAACAACTGATCTAAAACCTTTAATTTCCTTTATCAGTTTATCAGTTTGTAAAATTGTTTTAAAGCATTCAGAGATTTGCATTTCCCATGACTTGGTTTATAGATATATCAAATGTTCAAGTTTATGGTACTGTGTTACTGCATACCTGATTAAATATGTCTTTCAAATGTACTTAAATGTATTTATTAAATATCTATCTATTATTATTATTCTATAAAATTGAAATCTTTATGTATTGTTATCGAAACTGCTAATGTGTATGTATATGAGATGTTTTACTGGATATGTACACGCATGGCATCGCATGACATTTGACAAGGATAATTTAAACTTCCTTCTTATGATTTCCTTCTACTACTAGTAGTTTGTTTCAGATGTTTCTGGTATTTTCTAAATGCTAGTACAACATCATTAAATGGATTCTCATGAAAAAAATCTTGGAACCCCAATTTTATGTGTTGAACATTCTGTCTTTGATAACCATCCAATGGCATATTATTTCAGAGACCCTGGGATACATGCTTGAAATAGACATTAACATGACTAATTGTGTACTTTCAGTTGAGATTTCTATTCTGACCCGAATGTTCAATGTGAGATACAGTACAACCTTATTCACATCCCAAGTTTCATTTATTTTATTTAGTGGGTTTCCATTGTAAAAGTTTCCATAAAATCAACAAGAATATGGTATTGACTTACCTATGACTATCTATGGTTCCATTATATGCTGATTTTGCAGACTTTAAGTATCGAGAAACGAATAGCATCATACTTGATTTGACATTTCAGTTAGGAAATTGGCTAAATTTGTATCAGAGGCTAAATATTAATGTCATGTTTATTAGAACTTGCAGCGTACCCATGTTTTCCAGGGGTCCTTGGAAGTAATTTAAGTACTTTCTTTACTTGATTTAATGAACATACATGTATTGCCAGTTTGTCACAGAAACCTCTAGTTTCAAACTTGAGGATGATAATTTGGACACCATAAGTGTTATCTAGCTTTTTTATTAAGGCTGTAAGATTAGATATTAATAATTTCATATGGTTTGGCAATAAGATGGGCATAAAGACCAACATTTCCAACAATCATAGATACCGCAGAGCCATTTGCCACATTGGGGCTATGAGAGCTATCTGTGCATTTTTCTATATTACTTTAACGAGTAATCGGCTGATTTAAGAAATTGGAGGAAAGTTATTGACTGTTTATTCTGAATAAATATGTCAACTTCCAGAGTTTCTGGGTTTAGTTTCCACCTGAAATATTAATTTTCTACTGGTCGACAAAATCTATTTATTTGGACCTTAAAACTTAAATTTGGAAAAATCTCCCAATCTTATTTCTAGTTTGAGGCATCGAGAAATTTCTCTAGGTTTGATCTGACATTCAATTCTGATTCCTTGGAAGATATTATACAGCTAATAATGATATCTGTGGCAAAGGTATCTGAACGATCTTGCATTGCCTTTAACATTTCTAGCCATCTCGTTCCCCACATTTTGTTCACATAATGTTATGGTGGTTTTCTTGTTAATTTTATATAACATTGTCTAAGTTTTTGTGAATACTTTCACGTGTACCATATCCATGGCTTTCATTCATATGAAACAATTTTTGTTTAATCTATTTCCCCTAAGCTACTGTCCCGTCAGACTTGAGCTTTAGCCAAACAGGCTGCTTTTTGTTGTTATTGTAATTATTGATTCGGATAACACTATTAGTATTCTGAATTTCGTCTTCTTGGACCAATCACTATCAAATTTTATATTCATTTTAGTGAGTTATTTTGGCAATCAATGCATACATGTAGGACTGCTTTGATCTTTGCAAGTGTCAATAAATGTAGAGGTTCAATATACATATTACAGACTAAAGTACAATTCAAAAGTATCTCAATAACTTGAGTAAGATTACTGACTAGGGTTGATTCTATCTCTACAAAATCTTTGCGAGAATTTTGATAGAAACTATCATTTCTATTAAGGCCTTCAAGTTCATCTCAATTGTATTGATCACAAAACTACAAAGCTCCATTTTATGATGGGAACAAATCAACAATAGGCTTTTCCCCATTTATCAGAAACTTCGGTTTGAAACAAATATTTCACTAACTTGAAATCATGTTCATGAGCAGTGGATAGGCGAGAGGTGAATGACATCAGAGAATCAATAAAAGATTCAAAACCAAATTAAATATTCCACAATAGCGCTTATGGTATTTTCACGAGTTTGAGGGAAGCAAGGTCCATAGTAATGATCTCAAATGATGTTATATCATTCAACAGAGATATTTCCTGTGCTTATGGTCATATAAGCATCCTTAGCATGGACTTTCACCATCGGTAATCGTTTGGCCATTTCATGTTTCTTAGAGTTACCAATTTATTGTCTTCCATTTTGAAATATTCATACCAACTAAATGGTTAAGGTTTAGATTTAAAATTAAGAGTTTAGTTAGAGAACAAGTCTCTGGGAACAATCCTTTTCTCCTGTAACAATATGTGACACAGAAATTGATCTATGCTTGACTTTGCTTTTCTGTTGCATGTTTAAGAGTTAACTGAATCTCCTGTTTTAAAGGATGGACAAAACATCCGATTGCTTAAAATCGCAGTTTTGAGAAATATTAAAGTTGCTTTCCATTTAGAAATCTTAAGCTATATTGCTATCATTTCTCAGAATCTCTGGTAACCTTGACCATACTTCATATTTCTATGTAGGTGACTTTGAAACTTCAAAAAGTATATGTAATTTACCTAAGTTTCTGTTTTAGTGAACTTCCAGAAAGTTTTTTCTAGATCTGATGTTATATCAAAACATTCATCTTTTTTAGAGCCATTTTGGTTTAGTTTTTAAAATAAAATTGACGTACCTGTCATTGGACAAGGATTTTTCTACAGCGTAAGTTGTGCTGGAGCGACGTCGTGTATAATGACATTGTTTGTCATGACTTCTAGCTGTGTAGCTATTGCCAGCTGACGGCTAGCTTCTGCTTTCATTGGCCTATTCAAAAGACTGCCAAATACTTGTATTTATAATCTATTAAAAGATTTTGATCTAGAAAACTATGTTTTCATGTCTTTGACAAAATTCAAAGTTTTTGTTGAGTCATCACCAAACAATTCTTTCGCCCAGCTTGGGGTATTCTCTTTTTGGTTTTGGTAATGGTATGAAGACAGAAAATTCTCCAATTCACTCTTGTCAAAATGAAAATTTGAAGCATGAAGCTTGTTTCAACTACAGTAGTTGGTTATGGGAAATCCTTGTTTAGCAACAATAATCAAAATATTGTACGAGTATTGTCATTTGATCTAGGGCTGTTAACCCAATTTCCATGGATAAAGAGCTTTATTTCAGGAAGTCCATGTGACACACATTACCAGTATTGCATATGCCATTTCCCATTTTGCAATTGTAAGTTTCTACCTGCTTTGGGACTAGGAACATTTTTAGTTCATTTACTTTCTAGATAGCTTACTCTAGCCTTTTCTTCATATTTTGATATCTACTAGGATAATGTTTTTGACCAATATTTATGGACAGATTTTACATGCTTGTCTGTTATCTTCAATTCAGACTTGTTCTCCTCGAAAACTGAGTCAAACATATTGAACATATAGACCGTTGATAAACAGAACATGAATCTATAAGCACTAGATTACTAGAACTTGAATCAAAACAAAATGATTCTATTAATTTGAACCTACTATGAGGCAATGCAAATGGATATGCTCGCTGAAACTGTAATACGACCTCTAATATGACTATTATTCTGATGGCGGCTCATTTTGAACCTTGGTCAAACTTTGGTTTATAGGCCTTGAACTTTGGTCATTTGGACCTTTGGTGTGTGCATTCAGACATAAACAGTGGTCATTTAGACCTAAAATGTGGTCATCTAGAAATAACATGTGGTCATTCAGACCTAAACTGTGGTCATTTAGACCTAAACTGTGGTCATTTAGACCTAAACTGTGGTCATTTAGACCTAAATTATGGTCATTTAGACCTAACATGTGGTCATCTAGACCTTGACTGTGGTCATTATAGACCATGGTCATTTAGACCTTCAGTATTCAAACTTCCATCTTGAAAAATCATAATATTTCCCTACCTGTCCAAGTACATAATTTCTGGAGCACTAGGAGCCGTACTAATGGTTCATAAGTCCAAACAAATGTAGCTAGACTAGTAAATAAAAGTTCCAAAAAATAGCAAACAAATGACTGTTGAAAAAATTCAACAAGTCAAGCAGATCATCTGAAATAAAATCCATGTGCTATTTACAGCTATGTACAAATAGCCTAGTCTCTTATAAAGGTGTGTTTCCGTTGGCAGCTAAGCAAAAATAGGCCTAGTTATCGGTGCATATACATGTCCACTCAGCTGTACTACTCAGTTTTAATTTATTCAAATTAATACTACTAACAGCTGGAATCCGATAATAAGGGTTATTATGCAATATGAACTCTTAATAAGATGAGTGTAATAGAAATTAGCGAACTCAGGCCATGAAAAAAATAGTAACTCCCCGTGATATTATCGCCCACCCACTGTTTCAAAAGTTGCTAAGTATAAAAAGTCAAGTGTTAGAGCCAACATTTTACAAACTATGTATTACTTCCTTTAATGTAGATGAATTATTTAGTCATATCGTGCCCAAATGGAAAGAGAATCTGAAATAAAAGAGAAATATTTTTTTCAAACTTACCACTTCGTTTTTTACACTAGGTGGCGCTAGTAAAAATACGCCACCTATAGACAAGTAATATGTAAAATACTGGTTTGTGATTGGTCAAAATTCTGTTTAAATACCAGCGACTTGATTAATCTGCCTCTTTTAGTCAAAACAATCACGAGTCGAGGAGCACACACTTTGTTCTCACAAAATTCACATTATTTCCGGAGCGAAAATATCCTTATAATAGGTAGGTATTTGTGCAAATATTTCGTCATAATAGAATTTCATAATTTTTCATTGATTTAAAGTGTTTCCCTAACATTTGCAAGCATTTTGTGAAGGTTTTTGCAGTGTTTTATTTTGTAAACAAAGTCTTGATCAGTTGTTCAAAATCAAAACAAATGTTTCTTTGACAGATTTTCATTTTCCATAATAAATTCATTTATTTATGCAGTGTATTAATATTTGTCTTATTGTCAGTCTAATTTTCCAGCATTGCACATACAAGTGAATGAATATAAGCTATTTCTCGGGTTCTTGTAATTATTATGTATTTTGAAGTGATGTGCATTTCGTTATTCATTTGGGTGTATCTCCTGCATGCATTGATTTTTTTGTTTTGTTAACAAACCAGTGGTCTCAGTTCTGAGATTAGAAAATGTTATGCAGTCATATTTTCCCATGTATCTGATCATGCATAGACCTCATGTTCAATGGATTGGCCTATTATCATTCCTCAGAAAAGGAGACCCAGAGATGACAGCTTGCAGAATCAGCTGTAGAGATCTGGATATTTATTGACATTTTTGAACACACATCGTTTCAGATCTTAAGTTTTGAAGAAAAATTTATATATCAGGCCTGTAGCCAGGGGGGAGCTGAGGGAGCGGCTGCTTCCCCCTCTTGGCCAGAAATTCTTTTAAACTTGTGTATTTTTTCACCATTCTGATCACTTTTCGCATGATTTTGTCAATAAAGCTACCCCCCTTGGTAAAACTGCCCCCCTTGGTAAAAGCTGTCTACGGGCCTGTATATATAGAGGTTGATATCTCTTTTATAGGAATACAACAGTGGCAAGATGCCAGAAGCTCTGCTAGGACTGGAGGATTCAGAAATAAAATCTAAAGAAAGATGTATGTTCAAGTCCCAAATGTCCAGACCAAGTTCACCAGTGTTACCTACTTACAAATATACCAGTTTGATTGACAGAATACATAAACGAGCTGAATCGGGCGATCCATTCTTCTCACTAGAGTTCTTCCCACCCAGAACCTACAATGGTGCAGTCAACCTTATTGCACGGTAATATTTTTGTTTTTATGATCAAATTTAGGACACAAGCTTTTATTATGTATATTTTTTGTTAAAAATTGAAAAATATATATTTTGAGGTTTCCACATGGTAGAATAGATTTGATTATCTGAGTATATGGAGCATGTTTGATTGTAAATTTGAGTCAGAATTTGTGATTTTTTGAAGCGGCATATTATTTTTAAAAACGTCTAATGAGATCCTGTTTCATCCTGTGTTCCCTGGATAAATATACATTTGCTGGGCTAAATCCAGCGTTTGTTTACAATATTGTTGTTGATTTATGGATTTGCCTTGTAAAGCCTACAAACATGAGAACATTTATTTGCAATTAATGGTCCAGGTACTTAACTGTAGTTCCGGACTTCCTCAAAAGATAATTTCATGTGATAAATAAGTTTTGTAATTGAGGTTGGGTCAGTATGACCTCTTTCATATCCTGTCTTTGTATTGTATTTTCCACACTGCTGAAGAACATTGACTTCTTTTATCCTTGACAAATAACTATTATATGATTTATTTGATCAATGAGTGTTTTGATATAACAATGTTGATTGAAATATCATTGATCCTTGGTGGGGTGCATAAATATGAAACTACAGTAAAATTTTAAATGTTTGGAACTACTTTGAATTTAAAAAATAAGCAATAAAATGACTATATTGCAACAGTATATGAAAAAATGGAAACATATGTACAAGTCCTAACTTTTGTATATTTCAGATAGTTATGTATAATGTGCAGCAAAGCTGTGGCCTTTTGTAATTTAGGGAGTTTCAGCCATGTTAATTTTTCGAAAATAACATGGCAGAGAAGCATCAAAATATAAGACGCCACAGATATGATAGCTAAACTACAAAACAAACTAAAATATACAAAAGCTAGGACAAGTATAAATGTTTCTATTTTTACATATTCTGTTTCAATATGGTCCTTTAATTGCTTATTTTTTTAGATTCAAAGTAGTTCCAAACATTAAAATTTTACTGTATTATTTTTTATTTCCAATTCTAATATGATAACGTGACGTCACAATAGCTAGAACAATTGATTTACTGGTCTATATTCGAGTATGTATGACCGCTAAAATTCATAAATGCAAAAAGTTGTTTTTCTTGTCTGTTTATTATCATATTAAAATCGCAACAAAGACCTCGATTTTATGACTTATGTCTTCATTTAGATGTAAAATGACCTCATGTTATTGCTAAGTGTTTCCAGCAAATAAAGAATATACAGCATATTCAGGGGTTTCACTAGAATTTCTCACAACAGGCTAATTAAATGAAAACAACAGGCTAAATCAATGGAAATCATAGATTTATCATGGAAAAGTTGAAAAGTCCTTAAAAACAACAGGCGATTTTGTGAAAACACCCATTGAACAACGCCTGTTGCCTGCTGCTAATGAAACCCCTAATTATCATATGTCAAATTCAATGATCAATGACTTTCTTACATTTTTGTAACTTAAATATTTATGTCACTACCACAAGTGGTGACATACTGTTAGGAGTCTCCCAACTTTTTTAGTGGAAAGTGTTTGGTTGTCGACATCTGTAACAAATGGCGGGTGGTGACATTTTGCCTATTGATGCCTTGTTTTACTTTGTAACTCATAAAGACCAGTCATTTATTTATTATCCCATCGAACGCTTTGGCGTTGCTGTTGTCTAGTTTACTTTGTAAAGAAAACATTCTTAATACAGTTACAGTATCCATTGTTCGCTAATAGTATGCTGTCATTATATCAATGGTTATAATGCAAAATGATTTAGGAATTCTGAAAGTTTTAAATATTCTGTTAGTATGTTAAATGTTTCAGCTTTTTAGCCATCTATTTCCCATAATTTTGTTTCTTGACCATATTCAGTATTTTATAAAATTATCAAGATTGTGACATTCGTAAGATACCATAAGGACATATGTTTGATTACTGACATATATTTTCTATTTAATTTTTTTTTTGATATTGGATTCATTTATTTACTGTCCTTAAGATTTCATAGGTTTAGGGTCAAGATTTTTTTTAGTTTTGTGTCTACACATGGGCTTTCAATAGAATATTACATCACTAATCTTAAGTCAAGTAGTCTAGTAGTAGATGGACATGTACTATTTTTGTCAAAAAATCTATTTGGGGACGTTAAATAATTTACCAACAGTGAACTATCCTTTACTTTTTGCATTCATCCGTCTTGGCTTCTTAAAAGAGAGCTTTTTTAGTTTACAATAAATCTCAAAAATCAGAGCAAATTAAATTTTGTTGAAATGCGAATGACATCTGTATATGGTCATTCCTCGGACGTCATTGATCTTAAAATGCATTTCGCACATTTGGCTTAAAACTATGTCATCTACCTATTCATAGCTAACATTTGTTTATATCCCAACTCCAACTGTCATTTAAGTCACTTTCAAGATACTCGGAGGATAAAATTGTAATGCACGGTTCGGAGTCTCAGGGAAACTTCCCCAGACCTCATACCAACACATCTTGACTTGGTTATTTATTAAAACTGGTTAATTTATAATTATTGCCCAAATTATATCTTATCAGGGGAACTAGTTTAAATTATGGACATTGTACACATTTTATCAATGAATGCGGTTAAGTTAATTGATTAGAATACTATTGAAGCAAGGCTTAGACTCACAGTTTTCATTCATGATTCTGTCAGCTGATTTAAGTCACATTTCTTACTCAGACATGTCTGGATAAGATTGTTATGAATATATAAAAATCAAATTATCTAAAAATAAAGTAATAAATGGTCACATGGTCTTTAAACTAAACCATATGGTTGCTTAATTTAGATATATACTCTTTGATCCATGAATGGACTTTATAACTAAGTTATTTAAAGATCGATAGACCATGTGGACTAGACAGTAGAACCCTATGCAGACTGCTGTACGAAAGACAATCTGTTAGTTACGGTGTCTTTTAAGATCTTTTCAATAATAATAATATTCGCACATCTGCCTCCAATTTGATTAAAATATGATTTTTTAGGACTTCTTAACCCTTTTTGTGGATGTAAATAGGTTTTCATTAAGCTTAAAAAGTTCAATTTTCACAATATCATTGGTCCAGAGTGTGCGAATGAATATTCGACTGGGTGCAAATTACTTTTAAATTCTTATTAAATGGTTGCTTTAGTATTGGAGAGGTTGTTTAAAATACAGAAATTATGACCTGGATATATATACAGTAATCCCTAACACCTGAATGAACACAGTCATTAAATGTGGTGAAATGTTTATCTCCTGAACTTTGACATTTATTATGCAATTTATCTGCTCTTTACTTATTATCCCATCGAACGAAGTCTGTCCGGGCAATAACTCAAATACCGCTGGCCCGATTTTGTTCATATTTTGTATTCATATACCCAATGGGGGTAGAAGTTCTGCTCGAAAACCGATTTTCAAAATGGCCGCTCAAAAAGAAATGGCGGCCATTTTAGTGCCGATTTTACAGTAATTTAGGTACTGCATATAAAACTGTAATAGCAATATGTTTTTAATGTAATGTAAGCTAGAAATGTAAATATAGAAGAAATACATGGCAGCCATCTTGAAAAATGGCTGCCTTTGCACGTCATTTTTACAATTTTTGCTGTAACTTGAAAAGTAGTGGAGCGATTTTGTTCATATTTGGTATGTGAATACTTTAAGCATGGCACAATGTCTAATGACATTTTGGGTAGTAGGCGGCCATTTTGAAAAATGGCCGCCATTTTTACGTGTGTTATTTAACATTTTTTACTGCAAGTCGAAAAGTATTGGAGCGATTTTGTTCATATTTGGTATGTGAATACTTTAAGCATGGCACAATGTCTAATGACATTTTGAATAGTAGGCGGCCATTTTGAAAAATGGCCGCCATTTTTACGTGTGTTATTTAACATTTTTTACTGTAAGTCAAAAAGTAGTGGAGCGATTTTGTTCATATTTGGTAAGTGAATACTTTAAGCATGGCACAATGTCTAATGACATTATAGGTAGTAAATTTTGTTTTTGGTGTGTGAAAACTTTAAGCATGGCACAACGTCTAATGACATTTCGGGTAGTAGGCAGCCATTTTGAAAAATGGCCGCCATTTTTACTTGTGTTATTTTACATTTTTTACTATAACTCACAAAGTATGAGAGCGATTTTGTTCATATTTTATATGTGAATACTATAAGCATGGCACACTGTCTAATGACGCTTTGGGTATAAGGCGGCCATTTTGAAAAATGGCCACCATTTTTACGTTTTTTACTATAACTTGTAAATTAGTGGAGCGATTTTGTTCATATTTGATATGTGAATACTTTAAGCATGCCACATTGTCTAATAAAACTTTGGGGAGTAGTCGGCCATACTTCTTCTGATGACAACTTGGCTAGTGATGATTTCTGTTCGATGGGATTTGCTACGCTTTGGCGTTGCCGTTGTTCTGGTTGTAATAGTATATAACTGAATCACTGATATTTCTATAAATATACCTAGGCCAGTATTTTGACAAAAATTGAATAATAAAAGGGTGTTTTGACTAGTTCTGTTTTTGAGTTGTATTTATGTATTTTTCAGATTTGACCGTATGAGCGAAGGTCAGCCTCTATTCTGTGACATCACATGGCATCCAGCGGGTGATCCCTCATCGAACAAACCTACCAGCTCAACAATGATAGCTGGAACTATGTTGAACTACTGTGGCATAGACACCATGCTACACATGACCTGTTGTAATTGTACAAAGGAACACATTACTGCGTTCCTTCAAAAGGCCAAAGATCTGGGAATCAGGAATATTCTAGCACTGAGAGGTGGTAAGTGTCTAAGCTTTGCTGTTTGAGAATTTAGAATACACATAACATACACCTAAGTTTCTAAGCTTTGCTGTTTGAGAATTTAGAATACACAGAACATTTTCTCTACTTTTGTGCATGTATTATACTATGAGTTGCTTGGTGAGTAGATACAAATATTTAATAGTGATTCCTTAAAATATAAATCCCAAGAACATGCTGCAATTTTAAATTGTTATAGTCTCCCACTAGATAGATAGTGTTCGGCAGTTGCTATTTGTCAGTTGATGTTCGGTGGTGGTGACATCTTGCATGTTAATGCCTTGTTTAGAAATAAACTAACACATAGTCCTTAACCCCCTCATTTACTAACACTGGACTTAATAACTCGGAAGGTTTTTAATGGCTTTTCACTCCAGATCCCCCACAAGACGAAGATTGGGCCCCGACTGAAGGTGGATGCAACTATGCGACTGATCTGGTTAGACATATCAAACAAGAGTTTGATGACCATTTTGTGATATGCGTCGCAGGTAAAGAAATCAATCATCAATTTTGTTATAAAAACTTGAAAATCTATATATTTTGAAATGTAAATGTTGGACCTAAATTATCTTCAATTTTTGTGTCTATGGTTATACTCATATTAAAAGCCTAACTTTTAGGTAGGTTGAGATGAAAGAGAAATCTGGTTTACATGTTTGCAAAGTGATGTAACATCTTAAAAAACCGGCCCATAAGTTTACTTAGGCCCAGCTTAAAAGGTGGTCATATCACCAAATAGGAGTAGCGTCATTTTAAGTGATAATACTGAAATAAGTCTCAAAATTCATGATTTTCCAGGTTACCCAACCGGACATCCAGACTGCACTTCCTATGAAGATGATCTCAAGTACTTGAAAGAGAAGGTTGACGCTGGAGCAGATTTCATAATTACCCAACTCTTTTTCAAAGCTGAAACGTTCTTGTCATTTGTAAAAGACTGTCAAGCCATCGGAATCAAATGTCCAATCATTCCAGGGATCTTGCCTATTCAGGTATTGCGAGTTTTATTGAAGAAATCAAAAACACCTGTTAAGTTTTGTTTGTAGTGAGCCCCTGTTATTATTGTGCATTACTTTGTTTAAAAGATCTGCCTTATATATAAGCCATCTCATGCACTTTCCATTAAAAGTTGATGTTACATTGCAGCATATGCCATTTTGGTGATAAATTGAATTAAAATGCAAGAAATCTAGTATTAAATCTAGTAATCATGTTTGATTTTTTTGTTGTAAATTAACACTTAACATTTCTTCACTTCAGGCATACCAATCTCTCCGACACATTGTGAAACTTTCCCGTTTAGAAGTCCCTCAAGAAATTCTTGATGCAATCAACCCAATCAAAGACAATGATGAAGCTATTAGAAACTTTGGCATAGATATGGCTGTTGAACTAAGTAAGACTTGTCTAGATAGTGGCCTAGTACATGGTTTACATTTCTATACATTAAACCGTGAGGTCGCCACGATTGAAATACTTAAGAGACTTGGTATGTGGTGCGAGGAACCACGACGATCGCTTCCCTGGAAACCAACTGCCAATCACACACGGTGTACGGAAGATGTTCGACCAATATTCTGGAGGTCCCGACCAAAGAGTTATATTCACAGGACTTCTAACTGGGATGAGTTTCCCAATGGCAGATGGGGTAACTCATCTTCGGCAGCATTTGGGGAAATCACAGACTATTATTTGTTCTATTTAAAATCTAAAACTCCCAAAGAGGATCTGCTTAAGATGTGGGGACAAGAGTTACAGACTGAACAGGATGTTTGGGATATTTTCCACAAGTACATCACTGGGGAGGACAATGCTCAGGGCACAAAGGTAGTCATACAACATATACTATTTCTAGGGTTTGTTGTAAATTGGTTTGATTCAATTTCAAATAAAAATCTATAGGATAAAATATCACATTGTAAACTGACTATTGACATCACCTAATTAACGCTATTTGCAGTATTTTGAATTGTCATGACATGATTTAGTTTTTGGAGCAATCAATACAAGACATTCTAAGTAAATTCCTTACTCCATCAGGCTATAATCATTTTGACATGAATTTAAGGTGACATCATTACCATGGAATGATGATCTGTTATCCCCAGAGACTGGTTTGATTAAGGATAGGCTTGCAGATATCAATAGACGTGGTGCTCTAACAATCAATTCACAACCAAATTGCAATGCAGTGTCATCAAGTGATCCTGCCCTGGGCTGGGGGAACAAAAATGGATACATCTTCCAGAAGGTTAGTTTAAAAGTGATTTTCAGATATTATCAGTTCACATGTTGTTTTTTGTAGATTTCTGATATCAGTAGCTTTATAAGACATCTTTGAAATAAAATAATTATTTTTTAAATTTATTTATGCGTTACATACATGAATTAGACATAACTACATGTAGTTGAACATATTTCCAGGCATATTTAGAGTTTTTCACTCCCAGAGAGAATGTTGATGCCCTGAAGACAGTCTTGCAGAAATATTCTGATCGAGTTAACTACCACATTATAAACAACAATGTATGTATATGTGTCTTTTACATTACGCAGTGCTTAATTCTGGTCTTAGACATGCCTAAATTGAAAAAAACAACCTATAACTTGAAGCATCAATAGACCTTAGTACAAATGATTACAATTTTACGATTTCTGTAAATATATTAAGCATGGCAAGTGCTTATAATTATAGAAGTTGATTTATATGCTTTATTGTTCAAAAGAAAAGGTTTGTGTTAAAGTTTATTGATGGTGAAAGGTGCAGGATGTTCTGAATTTTGACGAGACCAAGTTTAATCCTTCATATCTTTAACAATGCAGCTAATATGGCTTGACATTGCTTCTTTTCCTGACATCTTTACTAATAAGACTTGATTAGTCCTAACTTTCAAAGTTGCATGCCTTATACTAATAGCAAAAGCACCCTATTCATTCTTAAACCTATAATCTGAGCATTATGATTTTCTTTATCTTTGGCTTTGGCTTTATCTACTCTTGCACTCTTGATTGCATGTACGTGTAGTTAACATATCTCTCCTTTGGTTTTGAACAGGGGAGCGATGAAATAACAAACTTTGGCTCAACTCAGAAATTGCATTTGTTGAATAAGGTAAACACTGGCAATGGCTTCTTACTATTTCTTTACTAATTAATTTGCATGTCTAGGCCTACTACTCTTGTCTAAGCTTTTTCTTATTCTTACTTTATAATCCTCTTTTTTCTCTATCCTAAAGATAAAGACTTTAGGATGTACTAATAGTATCAGACTTTTGATTCATCATTATTATGAATATACATGTGGATGTTTTTTTTTTTTATTATACCACTGATCCTGACAGAATTCAAATTGATTGGTACACCCGCTCTATTCATATATTTTATATGGGTAAGAATTAACACTCGTCAGATCAAACTAAATAACACTGTCAGTGCCTTACTTTTTGGTATAAATAAATATTTTTATTGCACATATATAATATATAGTATTCATATTCAATCTATTTTTATATTCAATCTATTTTTATGGTTAATAGGGTGAAGAGGACTACTCCAACTGTGATTCAATGGAGCCTATAGCTGTCACATGGGGAGTTTTCCCTGGTAGGGAGATCATTCAGCCAACAGTAGTTGATCCAATAGCCTTCAAACACTGGAAGGTGGGTACATAGAGCTTGTTGAAGAGGAGGGAATACCCCAGAATTCATAGGTGGACTTATCTTACCTCTATGAATTGTGGGGCATTTCCTCTTTACTTGAGAAATTAGAAATTATAGACAGAGTTTTGGAACTGTTATATAAAATATAACTTGTGATATTTTACCGAGAAAAAATGTTTCGGTTGAAATTTGTTAGGTGGAAGAATATAATGTAATTTATTTTGACCATCTTTGTGGTTTTTCAGGATGAAGCTTTTGGTCTTTGGCAAGAAAGCTGGGGTCATATTTACCCTGATGATTCAGTGTCTCGCAAAACCATAGACTTTATACACGACAATTACTACCTAGTGAATCTAGTGGACAATGAATTTCCACTTGAAAGTTGCCTCTGGGATGTAGTGGATGAGATGTTCATTGAGGCGGAGAGAAGTCACAAAACATTGCCAGTATCTAGTCATGGAGGTAAGATGGATTACCGTGCATTATTTACTTGAAATGTGCAGTAAAATTAGTTATACACTATATGCATTAGAATTTTCTCAAAACTTTTAAATGTCAATTGGCTAATTTCAAGATTTTGAATTTCCTACAATTTTTATGTGCATAATGTCTTTGCTCATTTGAGTTGACCTTCATTGTTGAATTGACCCTCATCATTAATGAGGAACCAATCACATCTTTGGGAGCCAATGATTATGGGGAATTTAACTCCCACATTGGTCCAATTTAGAGATCTAAGTGGAATAAAAAATATTTGAAACGATTCAAAAAATTTTTGACCACCATTAATAACACTTTGTGGAATGATTATCTTTCAGAGGGAGAGCCAATGGAACTGGGAAATACTACGTCACTGAGCTCCTCATAAATACATCCGCACATATCATAGAGCAGTCAAGCAGGGAAACGATATAGGAAACAAATGTGACTGTACATAAACTGGTCCTAAATTAGCAGGGTACTTACATATTAACTGAGATGAGACATTTTATATTTACTGCAAACGGCAGTATAAGATGACAAAATGTAAAACAAACATTAACTTTATTGTATTTAAGTTTTTTCCTGGATGAGTCAAAATCAACAAATGTTTGTTAAGAAACAAGTGTTTGTCACTGGGTTTAATTAAATGTACATTATTTATACTTTTATTCCTGTCTTGGTAAGAACACCTATTATTGTTGAAGTGTTTGCTTTAGCAAATGCTGCTATTATTATCAATATTATATATCAATATGATTGTGATCAATGTGTGTAGCAAACTATATTGTAAGATATAAAATTGGGGTATTTAAATATGGATTTGAACATATCTTATGGCTGTGTTTTAGCAACCATTTGAAGTTCTTTATTAAAGTTCTGATAGCGCTAAAATCTCTCGATAATGATTATTAGAAAAAATTCATCCACCAAAATAATTGGAAATACTAGAATGTTACTATTTGTACATTTAAGCTACTTTTTATGTATAATGATCATTCCCCAGTATGACTTAAATGCATGTAACCTACAATGGGTACACAAAAAAATTAAGAACTTCATAGTTTCAAATGATTCTAAAAAGGTACAGTTTATCTGTATTTCTTGGATTCAGTTTGAAAAAATTTTGGTGCTGTAGATTCGCTACATTTGTTTCAAAATTTGGTTGCGAAATTTAAGTGGTGCTGCTATTAAAACAGCAGTAAAGTTAGACTGCTGATGTAAAATATTAAGGAGTGGAGTGCCATTGTAAAATAATGACGAGTGGACTGTAAAGTACAATGTAAAATAATGAGGGGTGTATTGCCAATGTAAAATAATCTGGGGTGGACTGCCAATGTAAAATAATCTGGGGTGGACTGCCAATGTAAAATAATCTGGGGTGGACTGCCAATGTAAAATAATAAAGGGTGGACTGCCAATTTAAAAAAATAATGAGGGGTTAACCGACTGTGTAAGATGGGATGAGCTGTCAGTGTAAATAATAGTGGATTGTGCAACTCTTGATTGGTGCAACTTGTATAATGGTGGGGATCATCAGTCCACATTAACTCTTGATGAACACTATCACTGCCTGTTGGTACAATATTATTTGATTTACAGAAACAATGAAATTGGAATCAGAAAAACAGAAATTAGTCTCATGGTACTTCTTGTATATATGAAAGGGTATTATTTATGTACATAATCTATTAGTCATGTATGTATATTATGTATTTATATGGTTTAAAATATATCACCAATTGTGAAAATATCATATTATTGTTGGTTGTGTTGTGACATTGTTACAGTTCCCATATTTAAGTACCGTAAAGTGTATTCCCTTAAATGGTTAGGCAATAGAGAATTACACCAACTGTTAGGGAGGGGGGTAGATTGCTCTTAATTACCTTGATCTTTACTCATAATGATAGTCGATAAACTTGGACACCACCTTCTCTGAAAATTAATGAAAACAGTGAAATTCTACGCCAAGTGCTGTGAAAAAGTCTGTCCAACCTCATGGGGATCAAACCCACTACAATTCCCACTGTGAATTTGTGAACTTGTGTTCTAGATGGCATCAGTTGCAATCTATATTTTAAAGGGTCTGATGAATCTTGTAAAAAATTAATTGGTTGTAAACTGCAAAATTTTCTAAGTAGATATTTCAATTTTGGTGCTCATTACGCAATTTTTTAATATTTTACTTTTCACCAGTTGCAACTGCTACTTGACTTTTATGTTCATTGAACTCCTCCCCCTATTTGCATTAGAGTGGATGTACCCGGACTAGTGACCACAGAGGCTTACAAACAGTTCAGCACTCTTTTAAGAAACAAATGCAAATGATAAGAACAATCATATTTGTCAGTCAAGCTCAATGTCCACTTAGTCTTGATAGTCATGTCTTGTTTTGATCATGGGGAAATACAGGTTTTTATGAACTTCTTACATTGGTTAAACCATGTGACGTCTTTTTGCAAGTTATTTGGTCTTATTTGTCTAAAAAATTACTTATGTCACCACCAAAAATTGGTGACATATTATTATGGTCTCCATTTTTTTGTGATGGCGGTTGGTGGTTGGCGATTGGTGTCTGTAACGATTTCTTACAACTTCCAATAACTTGACAAATACAGTTTAGACTGACTTCAATTTTTTCAAAATCATCTACAAGTTTTCAAAAGTTCAAATCTGAATCTAAAATTAAGATTTGACCTTCAATGACCTTTCAAGGTCAAAAAAGGTTAAAAAAGTATTTTTTCAAATTGACCAATTTATTTTCAAAATCACATTTAAGTTTTCAGAAGTTCAAATCTGACTCTAGAATTAAGATTTGAACTTTTTAAGGTCAAAAAGGTATTTTTTCAACTTGCTTCAAATTGACCAATTTTGTTTTCAAAATTACCTTCAAGTTTTCAGAAGTTCAAAGCTGACTCTAGAATTAAGATTTGAACTTTTTAAGGTCAAAAAAGGTATTTTTTTTCAACTTGCTTCAAATTGAACAATTTTGTTTTCATCTACAAGTTTTCAAATATTCAAAGCTGAATATAGTTTTCAATGACATTTTCAAGGTCAAAAAAGATTTGACCTTCTCAAGGTCAAAAGGGTCTTTTTTCAACTTGCTTCAAATTGACCAATTTTTTTTCAAAATCATTTTTCAAGTTCTCAGAATTTCAAATCTGACTGTAGATTTGAGATTTCACCTTCAATGACCTTCTCAGGGTCCAACTTGTTTCAAATTGACCCTTTTTTCAAAATCGCCAACAGATTTCTCAGAACTTCATATGTGACTTAAGTTTGAACTAATTATATTGTGAGCAACTAGATGGTGACATTTTGTCATATTAATGCCTTTTCTGTCTGGTAGTTGACACCCCTCCTATTTGCATTAGGTTGAATGTACCCAGACTAATGACCACAGAGGCTAGTTATAAACATTTCAGCACTCTTTTAGAAACAAATGCAAATGATAAGTTAAATGTGAATTATCATTGAAAATATTTTTTTATATACATCTTAATTTTAATTAATAGCCACACTCACCATTTTCTGAATATTCACTTCATTTTTTGATACTACAATGTTTCCACACACTTGAGAATTCTGACCACCCTAAATTACCTGTTAAAGTTTGGTCATATTTAGCTATATCTCATTATTAATTTTAAAGCATATTTATGTACCCAAGTTTAGTTTGCCATTGATGTACAAGAGTAACTCAAAATGAATCAATGCAACAGGCTTTAACATGTAGTTCCTAAAGATATGGAACATGTTGCCAAACTTTTGAAGGGTAGTGTAAAAAGTGTGATGGCTATCAAAGGATTGATATCGATATGGTGAACTTTTTGAACACACGTTTCTCTTAAACCAGTCATCAAAAAATTCTAAAAATTTTACATTTTTTAATGGTCATATTTTGAATGATAACAATATAATTTGAAAAAATATATATACTTTTAGAAAACACATCAGACACTTCTTTTGTTCTTGGTATCATATGTTTGGAATGAAATGAAACATCTTTCCGAACCCCCCAAAAAATGTTAACAAAAACAATTATATAAATAATTTTCGCATTAAACTGTTGTCAATCAGACAACATTACATAAGGACCGTTTTTTTTACAGAATGTTTTCAATAATTGGTTTAAAGGGTGACGCATATCGTTTAGCAAATCGAACGCTCGTTTCTGGTGTTGCTCACCGTTTAGTATAAAAGGCCCGATCCCGGAATAATACTCAAGGGTTCACAGGCTCGAGGTCGTTGTGTCAACACCTCTAACTGTTATATAGCATAAGTATATTATAGATCGTCACACATTTATAAAAGGGTGATTTTTATTTTGACAAATCAATTCCACATTTATGGGTGAAGTTTCAGGATCTTCTATTTGTGTATAGTAAGGAAAAATTGACATCTAAATTTCCCCATAACGTAATAGCACACAGCTTGGCATATGAAATATCCTACAAATGAAACAAAGCAGTTCTAATACAAGGATTTATATTGGCTGTTGTACATATTCTTTGAACGCAATCACTCTATGGATAATGTTTTCAAAATCATTATAAACGGATTACTTTATCTCAAAGACAATTTAAACTGGATTTTACAGAACTCCCCTTATTTCTTAAAAATGGACTGATCCAGGAGCCGCCATATTGTTTTTATACGGGAAGCTTATCGGAACCCTTTAAGAGAAAAACATTGTTGAATTCACCATATCGATACCTATCCTTTTTATTGCCTTTTATCTCCAAACATGAACATTATGCAATGTGTTTCAAATTCTATCTTAGTCACATCAAGTCTATGTACCCCCATTCCATAAAGGTGATATTATGATAAAAATGTCAATAACACTGATCTTAAAAAAAATCAGAGTATGTAAATTTCTCATCTCATTTTGGTCGAGCGAGCATAACTAGATTTTTCACAAAATCATGGATATTGAAAACTCAAAACAATGCTATTATATTCTAGATCATATATCTGAACTTTGTTAACTTTTATCATGTGAATAATGATTAAGCATCCAGGCCCCTAACAAACAATTAAGACTCACTTTTGTTTTAATATAATTTTGTTTTGTCAATACCCAGTAGTTTATGTTACACAAGGATTTAACAGTTGTTTAAAAATGTGAATGTATACAGCATAAGCATAGCTTATCTCCACAACAAGCAATGCAATTTTTCAACAACCCCCAGCCTGGAATTTTTTGAAAATTGGCTGGCTGGCTATGTATATATACAGGGTGAGCAAAAGGGTAACCCAAACAAGTGTTGGTAATTCAGGCATGCATCATGGGTTTTAAGTCATTTTTGATCAAGGTTTTAATGTGTCAAGTGTAACATTAAAGGCACACTATACTTAATTTAGAAGAAAAAAGAAAAAAGAATCATTGAAACATGTTACTCACACATTCACTCAAATATGACACAAAGTTTGATTTGTTTTAATATTGAACCAAGAAAAATAACTACATAGAAAAAAGCATTTGAAGTTCAAAGATCATAAGTAGCGCATGCACATGCTAAACAAAGTGCATGTTTTAAATTAGTCTTGATTTAAAAGATGGCGACACTCATATAAAAATGAATGTATCATGTAATACAAACGACTTCGCCACCTTTCAATGACATTGATAAAATCTTGATATATAACGGAAATATATTTTGACAATTTATTGTGAGCTTTAATGTGGTCTGTTTTAGCTGCTGTTGGTGTCAAATGAAAGATAATATTCTTAAAAATACATTTGACATACTATGAAATTAAAATGTAAGTCTTTATTTAGCCCATAAACGTTGAAAATACGCAAAGTGGGCTTTTAAACCCATGCTAAATGATTGAGTTATTAACATTTGTTTGGGTTACCCTTTTTGGTCCAGCCTGCAGTGTTCTCATATGTTCTATGTATGTACAGTCGTAGTTTTGAAGATTGAAGTCAATATGCCTGTCAATAAGACGGTAACTGAGATCATTGCACCTTGTGAGCCCAGTACCCATGGTACTATTTATTTCATATAATGAAGAAATATAATTTAAAACAGTACTCATATATCTAGAATGGAAATAAAGACATTTCGGGTCTGGATTTTATAAATCATGACATTTATGTGACAGACTAAAACAACAAGCATATTTGATACTTAGAATTGACATTGTCAACTATGGACTTTGGAATCTTGGTACCTGGGTACGTGGGTAGGCTACTGATCAAATCTACATGTGCTGTGTTTTAAATGTTAAGGTTTTAAATTATATTCAATTCAAATTCTATCACTGTTGAATTATATATCTGCTTTATATGGGCTTATTAGCCTTTTGCAGATTATTGACATAGACATAGACATAGTGGGAGGGATCTAACCTAAGAAGCTCAAGTACATGAGTATGCTAGCACAGTAACCTTTTCAAACCGTCTAGAGCTGAGAAGAAATTGAATTAATTTTTTCAAGATTTTTCTATTTGTTCATATCTTGATACACAGGCCCTTTAAATTTGATTGACAGCATGATTGACAGTTTGACCCTCTTGACCCAAGGCTTGGGTCATTATAATAACAAAGGGTCTATATTCATCCGCGTTTCTGGGTCATCAAGGCCGATTTTCCATGGGTTTTAGCATGGATAAAGAAATAGATGGGAGTGACATCTTGATATTATTACAAAAGAAATTGATTTAAGAGCAAGTTTAGTACTCAAAGCATTCAAATTTAAAAATACACGCTCATAATCGTAGAACTATATTTGGTCGCCCATTCTTCCACTTGCGTTGTGCTTGGGTTTAAAATGGCTGCCGATAGTTGATTAGCGATAGGCAGTCAAAATGAATATAAACTTGGATTTACAACAAAACTACATGGAACTTAAGTAAAATAACATAATATATATACAATGTAGATAGTAAACCAAACTTTTGCTGATCAAGAAGTATGTCGGTGGTGTAGTTTTTGCGAAAGGAGACCACAAAGAGGTGAGGACAAAATTGTTTTTTCAAAAATTCGATCTCCACGAATTCCCGATTTGGCTATCTACTTTTCAGAATATTTGTATTCCCCAGTGGGGATAGTCACCATAGCTTGGAGAAAATGTAGTTCATATGCTGTATACTGATATATTAAACGTAATTTTATTCATTCTCAGTGAGTAGGAAGTTCGATCACTTTCAGTCTTTTAGATCAATTAATTTCACTGGCATGGGCGCAGCAGCTTTATCGGGGGGCCACTTTATCATGTTACAGGATAACCTACAAACCTTGATCTAGCTATAATTTAGTCATTTCATTTTGTAAAGCTCAAATATTTTTAATTAAATATGTTTTTGAGCAATCTTCATGTTCTTGGCGCAATGATTGAGATGCATTTTGTGCATTTCGTCTCGGTTCGAGATAATATGACGTCAGTATAATGTTATGAAAAACCTCCAGGGGGTTTAGATTTGATAATTTGGGCACAATATCGCTTGAAAATGCTCATATTGGTGACAAACTTGTTGGAAGGGGGGTGGGGGGTATTGCTATGTAACAACAATATAAACAATCCTGCACCTTACTATCCCAGTTACGATTATAACACTTTTATCTGGGTGTTCAAGGAGGATTGGCTCCCAGAGTGCAACATCAATATTCTGACCCATATATGGGCATGTCGGGATACAAAATTTGAATTCAAACAGCCACCATTTTGTTCACTTCAACATCTAAATCGTGAATTTTGGGACTCATTTGCCAATGATAAATTCTAAAACTCACAAGAAATGATCAAGATATTGGTTCGAATCTTTTGAACTGTTTATTTTGAATTTATAGTTGGTTATAATTTCAGAAAATAACGACATTTCCACGTTTTCGTTGTTCGAGTGTCACTATAAGTATTTATATAATAGAAACCAGAGAATGTGTACTAAGCGCATATACAAGATCATAAGCAATCATATGAGAAAAGTTCACAGTCTGCAAGCATTTGCATTGCTAATACTCTATGATTTGTTCATGAGTTCAAATCTACATCTATTAAATGAATGGAGTGAAAAGTAAATGTTGCAGCACAGACATTTTTCTTTATTATGATTTGCATTGTCCACGAATTGGTTAAAAAAATAAAATAAGCTGATGAATTGAAGATAATTATAAAATTAGTTCTACATGGGATAGCGTTTGTCAAGCTGGGCCAAATATACTTTTATGACCAATTCAAGAAGTATCAAGCCAAGTGAAGACTACCTCAACACTCGCTGATCACTATCAGCCCAGTTTTAAAAACTAAATTGTTTTAATCTAAACCTCCCTTCAACAGAATTACCCCTTATCATAATTGTCATTATTTCCATCATGCCTGTGAGAACCTTAAGACTGTACTAAATCTTTAAATTTAAAGCTATTTATTCCCAGTGTTGGTTTGCAATCTAGGTACACATGTAATTAAACTTGCATTTTTTGTTCTATAGAAAAGCAAGGATATAGCAATATGTCTTCATCAAGCAGAGATACAACCCCAACACAGTTTGATGACACTGAAGCAATGTCTACTAGGGCTACCAGGAGAGATGGTGTTTCACCAGTGCCAAAGAAAAAGAGGTTGGTACATTAATATCACTCAACAGGTACGATGTGGATTTGTGTCTGTCAAACTCTACAATTCGCCAGCCTATTCCATAAAAATGATTGAACGATATTCTCCACTTTTGTTGAACAGATACAAACCATGCCCCTTCCCAGCTCATTTTTGTCAAAACTATCAGCGATTTGAACAGAATTCTCTGACATTCTACTAGAAGACATCATGTTGAAACGTCATTTGAATGGGCTATATTTTCGTTGACTTTTAATTATGTGGACAATTGTGTCATTTAAAAAAGCTGCTTTGGTAAATGTAAGCCTCGTGGAGAACTTTTCATTGATAAATTAATTGTAGCACAAGTACTAGGCTTTCTGCGAAGAATCCTATGACCATATATGGTATCTCTATACATTAAAATATTGATATAAACAAAGTACTGCACGTGTATCCCTCAAAAATCATGAACATTAGCCTGCTAACAAGGAAATATGGTGTTTAATAAGAGTAGATTCGTTGGAAGGGCCCAGGGTTCGGGAATAGTTGATCAGATTTATTGCTCCCATGGTGGAGAAATTGACACATTTATTTTGCCTTGGGGTGAAGAATTATACAGGCCAAATTTTTGTGAAATTCCGCATACATGCCCACATGGGAGGGAGGTCTCATGCAAAATTCTGCATCCATCCATCGACAATTTTCCGGCAAATAAATATTGCAATTCTTCTGAACCAATGCTTATGTCTGTTTCATGAAGCTTCATGCTTGTAATTTATAATTAAATTGATGTCAGCTCTTATTTTTGCCACATCCTGGATAATCAACTTTTTGTCATCAAAATATCACATTTTTGACAATATTCAAGCCTGTATCATGTAACAAATTTCCAGATTGAATAACGTGTTGCAATTAAGGCTGTTTGAGTTTCAACTTGTACAGTTTTTGCTGGGTGTTCTATAGATTATGCTAAGTTTTTATCTGTTGAATGCTAAAATTCAAGCTGTCTTTGCAAAATAATCTTGAGAAAAATTTCCGAAAACAACCCAATCAAAGAAGCGAATGACACTCAAAATGCCACCTACTTTTTAGAAGTCCTTATTATAACATTAAAAGCAGATAATTTTGAGAATCAATATTTATAATGTTATGATGACCCTGTACTCAATCTGTTAAGGTCAACCACCTCTAATGTTTTACTTTACTTGTACCAGTATTTTCAATCTATATGGATTTTATTCATGTCAGGTCAATGAACTTTCTTAACTAAATATTCTTGAGTGAAAAAAGTACTATTTCAGAGATAGGTATATATCTTACATGGCTTACCCTTACCTTCAGAAAAAACTAGATACATGTTCTTCACTAATCGCTGTTTTCAAAGAATTCATTAAAATTACATTGGAAAGAAATGTTGAAATTAATCACTTAAAGTCCCCATGTAAAGTTTGAAAATATTTTTGTTTTATCATTCATTTACTATTTATCATGACTTTAAAAGTTATTTTAGAGATTTTTGAAAAGAAAGTTGTGAGCATTTCATTTCTCAAATATTCAAATCCTGCCATTTTTCAAAAATAATTGAAAAGATTTTTAATCATCAAATATTTCTTCATACATTTCAAAAAAGGTTATCTTTTTAACACCAATGCAAAGATTGAACAAAGGACACACTATTTCAATAATAAAATGCCATATTTAATGGACCACTTCAATGTTTTAGCATATCAAAAATATTTTGCAACACTAGTGATGTCATTATAACTCACTCAGGTAGCAAAGACTTTTTGAAAAAATTGAATTTTTCTATGGCAATTTATGAAAGCTATGCATTGGTATGAATTTTAGCTTATAAAAAGATAGTGGGACCTCTAGAAGTTAGTTTTAAATAAATTCACAATTTTTGAAAAAAAGTCCTTCAAAAACCACTTTTTGAAATTAAAAAAAAAAATTTCTAATATCACACTGACAACATTGGGTAAGACTAAAATATAAGCCAAAGTGGTTTAAAGTTTATATGGGGACTTTAAAATTCTCTTGAAAGTCCTTTTGATAATTGGTGACTGGGGAAACTAGTAGCATTAGGGTAAAATTAATGTTTTTTCTTATACCTAAGTCACATTTTCTTCGATTTCCGAACTGACACCTGGATGATGAATTTTATGGTTACTATCTGCTGAATATAGTTTCTGGAAGCTTTTTGTCGCAGAGACAAAAGTTGATGATGTTTTCTCAATTTATTCTGACCCACTGGTGTCCTGTAAGTGCATAAGGTTGTGGTACAAAGATCTTCCGGTCATCATCAAATAGCATTACGATATCCTTGCAATCTAAGTCTTACATGCTCCCTACAGTATCCTTCAGATTACTACATTCGATTTAATGCACCAAATTGTTTGCGGGTGCTTAACTTATTTCACTTATCAGCTGGTGTCTGGTGCAAATGTAACTGATGTGGACGATGAAGCAAATATAAAGCAAAAAATGGAAACCTAATTTGCACAAATTGGATACAACAAAGTAGCATGGTGTTTTGCTGTGTATAAAACTTTTGATGAAATATATACATAACAATTATTACATGTATACAATATACATAATTTTATTGCAGTCGTAAGCCAAAGAGTAAAGAAGGAACCCCAGAGACGTCATCTAGTGATACAGTAGAACTGCTTCCCCAGGATACTGAATCATTAGAAGATGCCCCATCACAAGCTGAAGATATCATGGATGTATGTCCCGATGATGTGAACACCTTGCATTCAGGTATATGCTTTAGTTGTTACAATAGTATACAATGTAGAAAACATTACATCATCACTTACATGTAGATTTCCTGATGTAAAAATGTCAACCACGTGGAGTGTAATTTCGTCTGTATTTCTGATACAATGCATGTTATTCTGTAACACTTGGAATTCTTTTTATTTTAAGCTTTTGAATATAACAGAAAGCTTACTAATATAGCTCTGTTCTACATTTTTCAACTCTATCCTTTGATATTTGATGTTTTCTGTTTGTGTTTTCAGCGGGTAGTTCAAGGGCTTCCACTCCTGGCTTTGCTCCACCAGCTCCAGTTGAGAGGCTTGCCTCAGAAGACTCTAATCAATCTGGTGAACCAATGTAAGTTGTTAAGATTGTCAATCTGAATATGTAATTTATCTCATATATGCATATATGAACATTTTTATAATATAGTGAATGTATATCACTGTATCCCATACTTGAGTGGGTTTTGGGTAGATATCAGCCGGGAATATATCATATCTGAATAATATTACGAAGGAATATTACGAAAATGTTAAATATAAATTGTGCTTTTACAGTATAGGCCAAGTATAGTTATATGAAGGTGTCAGCAATGATGAAATATGATAAGATGAATTCGTTTTTGTTAAAAAAAAGTTGAAGAAAGATTTCACAAATTTTATGGTTGAGAACTGATGGTGAAATGGGAATGCATATTTCTAGGTTTGAACACTCTGATAAGATCTGCTCCCTGTGTAATCTGGGTGCTAGGAGCCTGTTAGGCCAAGGTGATATAGGCCGCTATGAGCCCACGAATAACTTCAACCCATTTAAAAAACAAGCTGCTCTTAAGCGACGAAGCTCAGGAGAAAATGATAGCGATAAACCTGATAAAAGCCCTAAGCCTCTTACATGGAGGAGAAATAGGGGTCCCCTTAGATCCAATAGGTAAATATAAGCGTTGATTTTGTAGTAGTAAAGTCATAGTCAAGTGTTATGTATGTATTACTAATGTGTAAAATTTGAGTTATTTTGGGCAAACATTATGTCTAAATACAAAGATAAATATAAGTCTTCAACTTTTGCCATTCCTCCCTTGGTTCAAATATTTTATTTTTTGATGAAAATTGATTTATATTTTGTTTGTACAGAGAAAGAAGCAAATCTCCTCGGAGACCAAATCCCCATGCTACAACAGATGATGGCCGGCCTTGTGCCATCGTTGATGAGCTGTCTGTGGTAGGTTTCAAGGAAGATGTTGACATTCATGATCTCTATGAGGAGTCCAGCCACACCTGGGCTCACCATTGTTGCGCTGCATGGTCCGAGGGAGTCATCCAGGCCGAGGACTATTCCCTACAGTTCGTTGATAAAGCCGTTTTTGCTGGTATGAGCCAGAAATGCAATTATTGTCGGCGATTTGGTGCTACCATTTTATGTCGCTATCCCAAGTGCAATAAGAAATATCACTACCCCTGTGCATCTGCTGGGGGGTGCTTCCAAGACATCAAGACACTGTCCCTTCTCTGTCCCGAACATACTGACCAGGCTGTCAGCATAGGTAAGTTCAAGAACTTTACATCCTTCATGTTCAAGCAAAATTTTATTTTGATTATTTTGAATATCAAAGGGGAGTTTGAGATATTTTTTATCTACATTGTATAGATGTATTTTTCAAGGCTTTTGTATTATTCACATTTTTTGCTTGGCGTTTTGATTTTTGATTATGAATAAATACTGCCAAAATAAATACTGTATTTTATGTACTTTTTGCTCATGTCAGGTGGAGACTTGAACAGCAAATTACAAAAATTTCATTTTTGATTTGAATAATAAACCATTTTATTGTTTGTGTCCAGCTGGAGAAGAAGCCAATTGTGTCGTATGTGATCTCCCGGGAGATATCGTAGAGCAGCTGTTCTGTACCAGCTGTGGTCAGCACTATCATGGAACCTGTCTCGACCCCACTGTGGAAACTAACCCTGTCGTGAGAGCGGGTTGGCAGTGCCCGGAATGTAAAATCTGTCAGACATGCAGGTCAGTTGAAAGTTCAGTGTGTGCATGTTCCCTGTATTTTCTATGTGTCATTTAATTAATAAATGCAAACATATATTATATTATGTGTTTATATTATATTATATGTGATTGTAAAATGATAAATAAGATAATGGTTACTGGTTTCTATCACAGTGTTTGTATTATGTAAGAGAGCCCTACTTGTAAAGAAATAATGAGGTCGCTTCTTTTTTTGTGGCTAAAATTGATGAATTGTAATTTTGAGAGTTAAGTTTGTACATTGAGTATCACAGCTCTGCTGAATACTGTTTTCCAGGCAACCAGGGGATGACAATAAAATGTTAGTGTGTGACATATGTGACAAAGGCTATCATACATTCTGTCTCAAACCAGTCATGACAACTATACCAAAGAATGGTTGGAAGTGCAAGGTTTGTTCTCTAGTTTGACAATTTCAACATCACAAGGAGTGTATAGAGTTATACAGAAGTTTTTATATTAAAAATTACAGTATGTACAATGGGTGAACATTAATCTGAAAATCATCATCCAAATTTGTTCAGACTTTGTAATTGAAATAATTTCTCCAAGTTTTACACCTGGAAAGTTGAAATTTAGTTTGTATAAATTTGAGTTTTAATGTTACACTTTGACAGTTTTTACTGTACAATGAACTGCTTGGATTGCAGAATTGTCGTGTTTGTGGTGACTGTGGGTCTAGGACACCTGGGTCAGGGCCCAGTTCTAGGTGGCACCTCAACTACACTGTATGTGATAGCTGCTATCAGCAGAGGAACAAAGGTCTCTCCTGCCCTATGTGTGGCAAAGCTTATAGGCAGTTTACACAGAAGGCAATGGTCATGTGCACTGGCTGTAAAAAGTGAGTACTTTAAAAAATGTAAAACAAATCGATTCCAGTTTCAAAATACTTTTTAAACCTTCATCTTGGATTGGGCACTACTGAAAAACAGTACATCCGTCATGTATACACTTCCATCTCTAGAATCTCATAGTTCTTCCTACACAGTTTTTCTAATCCCTGCTATCCATAGGGAGAGACAGCTTACAGCCAATGTTACTGCTACCTTAAATAGTGTATTACATACATCTCCTCTCTGTTTCAGACATGTGCACTCAGACTGTGATGAGACCATTGATGAAGCTGTCATTAAGAAGCAGCAGACTGATGGCATAGAAAACAGTGATTATTCATGTCCTGTGTGTAAGAATGGAAATCCTATGATGCCCATGGATGTAGAGGTATGTATAAAACATAAATTGTTTTGTTACAAACTCGTCTCATGGCAAAATATTTAACCAATGTATTTACAGATTCATGCATACCAAATCGTTGAAAGAAGATATTAGCATGTTAGCACAAATGGTGCGATTGTTTACACCCCAGTCACATTTGTCGTACGGAGACCGTGCGTCGACCGCAGATCAATTAAATCAGTGTATTTCTGCGGCGAGCGTAGGAAAACTACGCTCGCCTTGCGGCCTCCGTACGGCGTATCCAGTTTTTTACAGGCCGCAGGGTCGCCGTAGAAATTATAACTCGGAGTTATAATATTTGTTCATTTCTGAGGTCCCCGTAGAAATCAATTGGCTCAACAAGATTGAATCATTATTTGTCAATGTTTCACGATCACTTTTCATTTGATATTACATCCTAGCACTATGAATAACATTTATAAATTGTCCCGATGTAAATAAAATGAAAAAAAGTATTATTTATCAACAGAAATTTAAAATTCACCGTGCGGCTGCCGTGGGAAATGTGACTGCAAAAGTATGAGAGCGCAGAAATTCCACGGCGAGCGTAGAAATGTTACTGGCCGCAGAAATGATAGACCGCAAAGTCGCCGTAGGAAATGTGACTGGGGTGTTATTATCAGATAATGTTGAATTTATATTGAGATATTAAACTGAAAATTGTATTACAGGAGAGCAGTAATCTGAGCAGCATACACAGTGGTGTCATAGAGGAACTGGACATGAAAGAAGATGTGGAAGAAAACACACTGAAACGTAAGTTGATTTGTTAAGGATAAATGCGCCAGGATCATAATGTGATGGAAAAAGTAGAGAATGAGATGATGGTTGCCTTGATTGTCATTGAAATGTAATATGAAATCAGTAATCAAAATTGGTCATCATAAATCTTTTTGATTATAGTGAAAGTCATCATGCTCCATTTAGACCTTTCTTTCATATTACCTTGGTTTAGCTGCATTGCATTTTTCCACCAGACTTAAAAAGTCTGTTGACAGCCAATATGCTAACTTGGACATTTTTGATATGACTTTTGAGTCAGACCACCACAAATGGTGACATATTGTCTCCAACTTTTCAAGGCAATAGAAAGTAACAATTTGAGGTATTCATAACAGTCTAACAAAGGTACAAAAAAGAAATATCTTTTGGAGAGCCATAGCAGTTACATTTTATTTTTTACAGCGGATGGAGATAGTAGCTCTGTACATGATGACACAGGCCAAGAGGACATCCTCCAAACATCCCAGGATTCATTGCCTGTTGATGAATCTTCAATGAATATGGATGTGGATCAAGAAAAGGTAAAGCACACTTATTTCATATTTCCAGATTGCATATTTTGTTCAAATCTAGAATTAATGTTCCTAAAAACATGGTTTTGTGGGGATGTGACTTCTGATGTTATATATTTTATGGTACTGTTCAGAGTTTTTAATTATAATAGTTTCACCCAAAGAGTGTGTTTTAGTTATAAAACAGCTCCGTTGCAATCTATATATGTTAATTTTTCTCAAATACACCTTTCGATTTAAATGACACTTAATTTTCACGAAAATGATTTTGTAACAAATTGTTGTACTTTATTGTAAGAGAATAAGTGTGCTTAACTCATGAACTGTGTACATTTAGGTTTGCCTGGCAGAGGGAGAGAAGAGTGAGGATGGGAGTAGTCCCCTCTTACCCCCAGGTCCAGGCAAGGGAAAACCTATGGGTATGGGCTTACTGAAACGCCCAAGTGGGCGACCCAGGGTAAGTTCTTATGATCATAAAACAAAAGTCAGATGTTACTCATTTACAGCTATTTCAGAAAATAGAATAATAATTAATGTAGTTCTATTTTTGATTCTATTGCCTCCAGTCACTTCATATGTTATTTTACATTGCATCATATGTTATTTTACATTCGCATCATATATTGTTTTACAGGGATCAAAAGGTAAAAGTATAGGTAAGAAAAACCAGAAACGATCTGCAGCAGTTGTTGCCCCTGTTGAGCGTACTAAGCGATCAGCACGAACAAAAGCTCCACCACGAACGTCATTCTCAACGAACACTGATATAGCTGCAGTTGTAGCTGCCATAGAGAAGGCTGGACCCCCAGATAAAGTGAAGGATGAGGACCATCTATCGACAGTGATAATTTCACGATTTGACGATAGTTTTGTATTAGAGCAGGTCAGTACTTACATCACACCTTTTTGATTTATCCTTTGTCCTGCAGGTGTCAGAAGTTGAGGAAAAAATTCCTGAATTGATGTGTCATAGGAGATGTTAATATCTGGAAATGATGACTAAATTTTATTACTGTTGTAAACTAGTGCATTTTCTACTACTTTAATCACTTATCGGTATGATTAAAACAGACATTTCTTGAAGTAAGATCCAAATCCAATTACAATGACATAGTGTGTGCCAAAACCCCAGAAAATCACAAAAACCTATGTTGTGGTAGCTTACTATGAAGTGACCCATTATCATTATAGATTGGTCCATCAACTATTCATTTTTACTTGTCTGCACTCAAAAAGGTGACACGAAAGGGCTAAACGGCTTGCACCAAGGTGCAACCATCAAAAAGATGAGTTTGATAAAAAATTATTTTTTTCAAATAATAGCAATGGGTATACAATAAAGGAGGCAAATTTGATATTGATTAGTATGATAGTCCATTTGCGTGTGGCCATTTTTATAAAAAACAATAATTGTGAAGAATTATATATTTCTGACCTGAAAATACCATATTTATTCAAAAGTCATGGTTGTTAATGATAATATTCCTATTTCACCTATTCAATGTTTTCAAAATATTTTGATTACCATTATATTCATTTTTGGCAAAGTAAACAAATATAGGGCTCACACAAGGATCAACTTTATTTGCAATATTTTCATATTTAGTGATGTTTTGAAAAAATATAAGGTTAAACACAATTTTATTTGTTAAATGTTTAACAAAATAAACAGATTGTGTTTATTTCATTGTTTTGACTGAAAATCGCAATTCATTGCTCTTCCTCTTAGAACGGCAGGGGATATACAAGTACATAAACAGTCTTAAAAAACGTTGATCCTTGTGTAAGCCCTACACTTATTTACTTTGCCAGAAACTGATATAATGGTTATTCGGTGGTATGAAAATCATTTCAGAGGTAAAATAGGAAGAATGTCTTTGAACTTGGAATAAAAAGCATTATATGGTTAGAAATACCCAATTTTTACCATAATTGTTTTTAATAATATAACCATACCCTCATGGACTATCTTTACATTTCAATAACCAATGTGCATTATATTTTGCATGTTTTACTGCAATTATTTGTAAAAATATTTTTAAATCTTACATTTTTGACTGGAAAGTGAAGAGACAATACTCAAATATACTCATATTATTGGTCACATTTGGTTATTTCACCCAAACAGATTCGGGATTTTTTAGTCCAGGCATATGAAGACACTAGTGTGAATTAAATGGTCATATTATACAATACAATACAATACAATACAATGCTGATCCAATTCAGAATTACTAGAGAAAGTAACTCTCGTGGCTGTTGATTACTGATTGCAGTCATTAAACTAATGACCTCATATTTGGATGTCCTCTCTTCCGATATGATTTTACAATTCACTTCAAATTGGCAAAGGACCAGGTATAGTATGGCAAGTGATATCTGATCGTCATATATTTTACCATGACTACTTTCTCAATATAAATATGACATTTCTCAAAAACACAATATGTTATCTTTCAAGAAAATTCAATTCTCAATGATTATAAAAATATCATTCAAACAATCTAAAAAACTATGAATGGGGAACCCTTCTCAACATTTTTTGAAATTATTTACTCAACAGAGGTTCTTCTTTTTTATTTGAATTGCATGAAAATATTATTCAACAAGTGATCTAAAACTTTTTCATTAGTAGAATTGTAATGAAAGTCTAGTTTTGGAGATATTAATTTTCAATGACCACAATTATGTTGAAAACAATGGATAGTTTGAGTTTTTCCAATGGAAAATAACATGGAACTTATGGTTTTTAACTTTATCGCATTTCAATACCCGTCCCCTTTTCAGAATTTGTTAATTCATTAGCGTAGAAGAACTTTTGATATATTCGAATTAAGAAAAAATACTTTAGAAAATAAGCCTAATATTTTTCAAAAAGTGACAAGGTGGGGATCTTATCAATAATATTTCAGATATATTTTCAAATATTTATATTTTCAATTTCAATTTTTTGATACATTCAAGCATTATTACGAATGTTATTAATAACAGGTGGCACCACATTTGATGCTTATACCCGTACATATAGTAGTAAAATCATGTAGTGTATCATTAAGTTGTCAAGTAATTAAACCAGAATGAAATCATAAAAAATAAGTTGAAAAATAAAGGTTGAGGGGGATTCATGATGTTTTTTTCTTTTCAAGTGAAGAAGTTGGATGATATCATTTTTATCACAGGGACTTTACATAAGAAAAATCATATTGTTTTCACAAAAACACGTTCAGCCCCAAAACGCCAAATACTAATTAGATATTGAGCTATGACCTTGAAATGATCTTGATCCATAAACATTGACTTATAGATCTCTGGTCATTTTATCATTGGTCATTAAATAGGACTGTAGCCCCACATTTGCCAACAACTTAGATATTGACCTTGAAATGACCTTGAAACCAGGTCACCTAATCATTGGTCTCCAAAGGTCACAATTGTTCTCAATTGCCTTTAAACTCCAAATTGCTAGATATTGACCTTGGAAGTCACCCTATCATGAGTCGCTAGGGGCCACAGCAGATACCAGGGCCTTAATACACCAAATACTTAGATACTGATATTTGACCTTGAAATAACCTTGACCTCAGGTCACACATTCATGATTCACAAAACGCCAAATATTTAGATATTGATGACCTTGAAATGATCTTGACCTATAGACCTTGACCCTGACAACAGGTCACCTAATAATCGGTTGTCAAGGGTCAGAATTGTTCTCAATTACCCAAATGCGAGTAGGCAGTTACCAGTTTCACCACCAGGTGGCTGATTCGGGTCAATTAACATGGCAGGTATATAAGAAAGTTCCCTTAAACTTGAATATTATTAATTTAAGTGGCTCAATTTTCATATAACCCTTATATGTCTGATACTTATACTAATGAAAATATGTCCAGTAAAGCAAAATATTATCTGTCCACTCAAAGAAAAGATATTTCATTTTTGTGGTTTTATAGCATGGGGTCTATGGGGAATCTCCCCGAGCTAGAAGTCACATTTTCAAAGAAAATTAATTTTTCAAAGTTGATAAACACTTTTTAAAACCACATTTCGAGATGTAATTTTACATGTAGATTTCAAATATGATATTACTTTGACTGAATTTTGAATTTTTAATGACGTAAATCAAGATTATTTCTACTCGCATGTGGGTTATTGCCTTAAAACACCAAATTGCTAGATATTGACCTTGAAATTACCTACACCCATTCAGTTGATCTTTACCTCAGGTCACATAATCATCGGTTGTGAAGGGTCACACCATCGGCAAAATGTCTTAAAATGCCAACTATCCAAGATATTGATATTTTAAACTTGAAATTACCCTGACTTTTGACCTGTGTTGAATACACATTTTATGAACAAAACATAGTACGAAGTTGAAAACTGATCTTTTTGAAATGAAATTGCTGCTAATGTTTCAAAACTAAGGTATCTTTATTGCAAAAGTACTATTCAAATTGAATAAACCAAAAGAGATAGACTTAAATTATCTAATGTTCCATCAGATTTAGTAAAATTATAACTCTTAAGTAAATGTTGCAATATATGCTCACACATATCTTGTTGTATATCAATCTAGTGCAACTGCTACAGGTATCACTCTGACACGTATCTGTGAACAAATCAAACTTCTTTGATGTTGATGTAATGCAAATTGGTATCTTTTAATATGACGTCCGTAAGATAAACCATCAATACTAGGACTGTCAAAACTTGCATTAATAAAATCAATTCCCGTCTCATCACTGTCACACCCATTACTACAAGATGATGCCTCTTAGATCACTGTCTGCAAGCTATAAACTAAGTGATGCACTATATGCTCGTAATACTTTTTTATTCAAAATCAAAAGTCAATGATACTATTCCTATTTTTTATATATCCGAATAACCATTATATATGTTTTTGACAAAGTAAATAATTGTAGGGCTCACACAAGGATCAACTTTTTGAAGACTTTTTCGTACTGGTGTAGACTCTCCTGCTTGCGAAGCAAGGGCGATGAATTGAGATTTTTCAGTCGAAACAAGAAAACAAACATATAATTGTTTTTTCTTCAACAAATAAAAAATAAAATTGAGTTTACCTTCGTATTTTTTCAAAACATCACTTAATATGAAAATGCTATGAACAAAGTTGATCCTTGTGTGAGCCCTATAATTATTTACTTTGTCAAAAACTAATGAAATGGTTATTGGTATATTTAAAAAACACTGACTATATAAAATAGGAATAATATCCTTGACAACAGTAACTTTTTAATAGAAATCGCATTTTAAGGTCATAAATATCCAATTTTTTACCATAATTGTTTTTCATAAAATTACCACACCCGAACGGACTATCATTACACATCAATATCAAATTTGCATCTTATTTTGTATACTTGCAAGTATTATTTAAAAAAATGTATATTTTTCAAACTCATCTTTTTGACGGTCGCACCTTGGTGCAAGCCGTTTAGCCCTTTCGTGTCACTATTTTGACTGCAGACAAGTAAAAATGAATAGATAATAGATCAATCTAAAATGACTATGGGTCAATTCATAGTAAGCTACCACAACATAGGTTTAGCCTAACTAAGCCACTTAGAAAGCAATTTGGCACACACTAACATGTCTCTTGTGCCATTTCAGGACATGTGTTATGCATGTGGCAGCTTTGGTAAAGATGAGGAGGGAGAATTGATTATTTGCTCCCAGTGTGGCCAGTGCTATCATCCCTACTGTGTCAGCATTAAACTTAACAAAGTTGTCATCAAAAAGGTCAGTACTGAAAACACTGCAGTATTATTTATGGGGTTAAAAACCATGCTGTTATTCTATCTCATATATTGGAGATGCTTTTAAGTACTCGGTATGATTAATGTATGGGGTCTGAGAAGCTTGGTTGATTCCCATATTTCACGTTGCTTGTCGAAGATGCCTGGACTGAAGTGTATACAAGACCTGTTGTAAGCTGACTTGATTCCCATATTTCCCATTGATTCCCATGTTTCACATTGCAGGGTTGGAGATGTCTGGACTGTACTGTATGTGAGGGATGTGGGAAGCCTCATGATGAAAGTAAGCTGCTGCTATGTGATGACTGTGATATAAGTTACCACATTTACTGTCTGGATCCACCACTTGACACTGTACCTAAAGGCAACTGGAAATGCAAATGGTAAGAAAATATCTTATTTTATGATATTCAACTGCCATTTCATGTAGGATAATGGTGTACAAAAGTTATTGATAAATCAGCATTAGTTCTGTGTTTAAGGAAAGATAACTTGCTATTTTGTGATACATCTTTGATGTTATAGATTGAATGTAAAATATTAAACACATGTACTTTCAGGTGTGCCAACTGCACGATGTGTGGCTCCACTTCGCCAGGTGTAGGTTGCAGCTGGCAGAATCACTATACAAAGTGTGGACCATGCCACAGTCACACTATATGTCCAGCATGCAGACGGGTCTACAAAGACGAAGACCTCATCATTCAGTGTACTCATTGTGATAGGTCAGTATTTTGTCAGTGGGTTGAATCTATGTTATTTTTTCCAAGGTGAATTTTGGTCACACCAAAGTGCTACATTATCATGTTGTCATTAGGACACCTGTCTAGAATGGCTACCTCAGGATTACATTATCCATCACAGTTTAAAAAAACTGAGAACCTGAAGTTTTTCAAAAAGTAAGGTGTGTACATCATGTGATAATGTTATTCTATATTCAGATGCCTATATGCATTATTTTGTATATTCAGGTGGCTCCATGCATTATGTGATGGCTTAAAGAATGAGGAGGAAGCAGAGATCGCGTCAGACATGGGCTACCAGTGTTTGTATTGTCGATCAATCACAGGCCATCCAGGACCATGTAAGTTGCCTTGTGGTGTTTCCAAGAATTAAATAGATTTGAAGTTCAAGAAGTTGTATAAAATAATTAAAAATTAAAAGTAGGCTGAAAAATCAAGTACGCCAGATGCCTGTTCCTTCTGATATGATAAAAATGAACTCTTATATCTCTTATCATGATATTTAGATGATATGCAAATCCGTTTGCTTTCCAGTACCCCCTCCCCCACCTAGCCCAGAGCCTATACCAGAATCTCCACCTCCAGTCCCAAGGGAGCCTGAGATCATCCGTAAACACATCATCGTAGATGGCGTGGTGCTCACTGAGAGTGGGATGGGTCAGATACGTAGCATTACAGTCAAGCCACCAATCAGGAGACGGCAAAAATTAACTCCTGATGCTCGAAAAAATCCTCAGATTCCTACCTTGATGGGTGTTGCACCTGTTGAGAGGGTGCCATCGATTGATGGCTCTGAGCCACCAGTTAAAGGTGAGATAGCACTTGAGAAAAATATGAGATACTATTATACATACGTTTTCATTGTATGATAACTTTATAGTCAGTTTTCATTGTATGATTTTAGATATCTTGATGTTGTCAGGTTATATGCAGGTATTTACTTGGGAATGTTTTAAAGGTTGATTTTTACTGACAAAAAACATATACGCAACAATTGAACTTATTTATTTTCAGGTTAAATTTCTCAATTAGAGTGTTCAAATTGATACTCACTTCAATCGATCTTCCAAAATTGATGAGTAAAATGTTTGTCTCGTTTCTTGTAGATATTGATGATGAGTTTAAGTTCAAGGAGTCTGATGGTGAAGTGTCCCCGACCAAGAAAGGAGAATTCCCTATATCAGAAGGAATGGTGGTCAAAGCAAAGCAGAAACGTCGTACTCACATCGGCCTAGGTCTGTATTCACTTTTAGTTAATTTCCCCCTAAATGTAGTGTATCTGTTTGTGGAACACTTAAGATTATACAAAGCTATTAATAGGACCAATTACTTGAAATATTAAACTCTATAATATACCTTGATATTCAGAATTTTATTCAATTGATTTATCTTTTGTATAGGTATAGGTGGTTTTAAAGTGAAGCCTAGATATAGGGCTGGTCTCTTGGGGAAGGCATTGCCTCTGAAGCCAGGCCAGGCTACAGCACTGCCCATTCAGCCAACAATCCCAGAGGAGGGTGAAATGATAGAAGGTATGGTGATTTTAAAAATTTCTATTTAAAAAAATCTAGTTAGTGTACTTTACAACTGGTAAATGTTTTATATTTGGAATAAATTGTACAGTATTGATTTAAAAAACAAGATTTGGAGAAATATTTTCTAGTGATTTCATGTTCACTGTTGATATTGGAGTTAATTGTGTTATTAGGCGAGATAAGGCTGCCTGAAGGACAGTTCAGTCCAAATGACCCACTAAAGAAGCCTGTGAGAAAACGTCGCCCTAAACGACGCAGCCAGTTGGAGGATAACTACCCATCATACCTTCAGGTAAAAAATTAGTTTTGACACGGCTACTGACATATCGCTGCATAATATACAGCAGTATTAGGTTTTATTTGGTTAATTGAATGGCTCTTCATAAGCAATATATGTTTGGTGCAAAAAACAACAAAAATGGATTGGATTGTCTTTAACCCAACTTCATATTACCTTACAGGAAGCATTCTTTGGCAAGTCCACACTAGACAACACCAAGTCAACTGAAGATATGATTGCCTCAGAAGAGCTTGAAGCATCTACAGGTGGTTCACAGAGTGATAAAGAGGACAGCTTTAAGCAGGCCCTCTCTAGTATAGTCAAGCAGGTAGCAGCAGAGAAAGCTGCCGAGAGAGAACGCAAGAAGAAAGAAGAGGAAGAAGCACATAATCTAGGTGTGTAGAGAATTATTAATGCAGTTAGATAATTCTTAAAATATTAAATCAGACTACTTGTCTGTTTTTATTATTCCTTTATATTGTGTTTTTTCAATGAAATTCTGCTAATGCTCAATCATATTCCCCTGCTCTTTCTTATTTTTTAAATCCTATCGATGGGGATGATCACTTGTAACTGGAATTCTTGACCTTCAGAAATATAAAATGTTGACATCATACTTCTAGATGATGGAGATTTGAAAGATATCCTCCCATTGCCTGGTGACCTTGAGCTGCCCCATGATGATGAACTGATGAAGATGATAGAAGATGAGGACCTCCAGTCAGGGGAACCTTTAGATGCTCCAACCAACAGCCAGCAGCACAGGGAGGGTGATTCCAGCACTGACAATCTCGACCAGATGTTGAACCCAACTTTAGACCTGGGCAAGAATGTTGATATGATCTTGAATGAAGGTAATGTCCTTGTGTTAAATTGAATGTTTTTATTGAATTGCATTTGCCTTCTTACATTCCTATTCCACTAAAATATATAGATTTATCAACATGTATGATTCACTGTTATCAATATTGACTAAATGTTACTTTTCAATATTTTAGGGTTGGCTAACATAGACACTAAAACAATGGAGGACCTGTTCAAAGGAGTCCTTACCCATGATTCTGTGCTTTCAACCAGCCCTGGCCTTGGGCCTGGTAGCTTCCCCCTACCCCCAGTATTGGACACAGATCAGCAACAAGCACCCCATGATTCATTAAACTTACCCCCACATACTACCCCACCACAGGCTCCTCCCCTTGGGGTGCTATCTAGACAGGGAAGTTTTGAACCTGGATCAGCCACCCCACCAAATGGAGGTCCCCTCCCTGCCATGCATCAAAGTCTGTCTGAGGGGGACATGGGTAGGATACAGCATCCAACCACTCTACCCTCATTCAGCAACATGCCACCACCCTCACCCTATGGAGAAGTTGGCACGTAAGTTGTGACTTTTATTTGTAATTTAGAAATGCTTGTTACTTTGAATGAAACTTAATTTTTATAAATAATTATATTGATTGACCAAAATTTGTATTTGTATAAATCAGGGTTATTTAATGGGAGGTTTAGGATACATGGTATATCTTGCGGGAAATACAATATATATCTATCAAAGGGACCATAGTATAGGATATCTTTCCCCTTTGTTTTGGCAGGTCTGGCCAGTTCAGCCCAGGCTTTGCATCCCCAAGGGTTGGCGTATCTGAGGCTCCTTGGCCCACCACACAGGGAACTGGTGATGATACAGAGACTGAGCACATCTCATACAACAAACGAAACATTATGAAATGGGAGAAAGATGAACCACTTGGTGACAAGGCAACTATCTCCCCCGTCTTATATGCCAATGTTAACCATCCAGAGCTAAAGACACAGTATCCAGACTGGAGTGAGAGATCAAAGCATATCGCTAAAATATGGCGTAAAGCTACTCCAGATTCTAGGGCCCCATTCTTGGTAAGTGTGTTGAATGTAACTTGTTAAAATTAGCTCATTTATCACACAGAGTTCTTTGCTATTTGGGGTTGGGTTTTCATGGATTTTTAGTTCTCTCAAAACACTTACTTGAGGGAGGGGGGCATGAATGCTTCTTGTGTACATTGTCAATGTAGCATGGCTTTGGTCTGCAGTACTATTAAGATCACTGTCAATTAGATAAAGGAAACGAGGGTTTGCTGCATCATACATAAGAGAGATTGCTGGTTTGCATCACACACTTTTCACACACAATTGTTAGTATTAAAAATATAGTACTAAATATTTTCTAATGTCTTGTAGAATTTTTGCCGTCAGAGAATCTCCATGTGAAGAAAATTTGAATAAGACAATTGATGAAACAAGTTGAATAAAAGTTATTTTCTACTCTACAAATACTCTATATTTGATTTTGCTCTTAGCGTAGTTTTTGATAAGTGGATGGATATACAAGTTCACTTTGCATTGGCCTCACAGATTTGTATAAGAATATGCACTAGAGTATATATATTTATATATTATTATTATTATTTAAGTATTTAAGTTGCATTAATGCATGTGTAATTGTGTGATTTGTCTATTGTCTTGTAGGCCAAAGCACGGGAAAATCGTGCAAGCTTCCGACTGACGAGGGCCCAGAAGGTAAATGACATGGTATGCACGGTTTGGGTTGCTTTTCTAACTCTTAATATAAGGCTAAATATTCTAGGCTTATAACATATTGGTGAAGGTTTTCACTATATAAGTATGGTAATGGTATGAACATAGTTTATAGTCAGCATAAATATTATAAGTACTAACTTAAAATTGTTTAACATGTGGCCAAGTTGATTGCACTACTTATGATTATAACGGTTCTTTAGGTTTTAAAATGGTTCCCCGTAGATCCTTCCTAATACCTCCTATTCCCTATACTTATTCCCTTATACCATATAATTCTTAATCATACGAGAATTTAATATAACCAGTATAATTTTCATGCATGATAACATGACATCAACAATAATACCCAACAATCCCAACTAATTTGTAAACATGACACTCCCTCTAAATTGGTTAAATGTCAGCCAATACTAAACTTATATTTTTATATAAAAGTTATTTTTTATTATATCAGCTACAGTGACATATTGTTTAGTTTCCTTTTACACCCAGTATCTGTTGAGGCAAGCATAGACCCAATTGATGGATATATTCAACATTTTTATTTACAAAAAGTTGGAGTTCACTTTTGAGAAGACCCAAATGTATAAATGTACATGCAATAGGTAAAGGTAATGTGCAAGGAATTAATTGCATGTAAAAAATGAGCATACTTCTGACTAAATTTGCAGCTTGATGGTGGATCAAGGAGACGAACTAAAAAGGAACCAGCTGCTTCTACTATCGGGGCAACCTCCCAGGGGGTAAGTGTACCCCCTCCGCCTCCTCCCCCTGTAGGCCCCCCACGTATGCCCCCACTGGGGCTCATGCATGGAGATGTTGGAATGACGCCAGAGCAACTGAGTATGGCAGAGCAGAAGGCCCTAAAGGAGCAAGAGCAGGAAAGACAGTGGAAGCAGCTACAACAGATGAGGTCACAGATACTACAGGAAAGACGTAAGGAGATGGGTATGTTCTCATTCACATCATATGCATGCATCTAAATGATACATGGCAAAACAAGATTCGAAGTGCTGTGAACCCTGGGGATTGTAATTTCAGTTCCTTTTGGATTATAAAGTGCATTTTTTGATTTCCAATCATTTTACACAAAAGAGAATTTTCCACAGAAAATGAAATGACTTTGCTATATGTAAACTGATAATTTATTGGATTTAGATATTTGCCTTTTGATTGGTTTGAAGACCCCTTCTCATTATATTATTCAAAAGGAAAGACCCCTTCTCATTATGTTATTCAAAATTGGGCGTGATAATGAATCAATTTTTTGGCATTAAAACTCTAATGATTGCCGCATCACTTACATAGAAATTGTAGTGTTAAATGAAGGTACTGTGAATCACTTTGACTTTATAAAAACACTCTTTAATTTTTTTTAGTTGTACGTAAGGATGGAGACCCCCAAAGCACTCTGCCCAATGAACATCAATCTCCACAACATAGTCAACCTAACACTCCAGATGGTGGGTGTTTTTTTAGAATTAAGACTCAATTATACCATTCCTTCTTGCATTTTTATTACATAAGTGAAGAGATTGATATTTTATAATTTGAATGAATATGTTTTTAAAATGTAAGCACTACAATTTGTCAAGCTAATTACAACTGTTGCTAAGGTTTTTGAATCTTTTCTCAGTCAACATGGTACCATTACGATCAACAGAAAATAGCAATATACATTGGACAAGGTGTACACATTGTTGTAGTTTGAATGTACAATACTTTTGTTTTAGGTAAACCTGGGACTCCTCTTTACCAGAGTCCTCACCGGGGTTCACAGCCAGGGACCCCTCAGCCAGGGACCCCACAGATCCCTGGGTCCCCCATGATTCCCCCACCACCTATGTTACCAACCCCGAGACCTTCTGACGATGAGAAGCAAAAGCAGAGAGCAGTGCCACGTCATCAAGACCCATTCACTCAGATACCCCCGAGGCCAAGTTCTGGTCCATCTCAGCCGTACCCTCTTCCTGGTCCTAGGATGGCAGATCCATTCAGCCATATGCTCCCCCATAATAAACGTCCTCACGATTCAAGGACACCCCCAGCTGCAGGGTTAACAGGTGAGGCTCCTCCTCACCAGCCACCCAGGGCATCATCTGCAGGTTCAGCTGGTGTAAGTATGCAGGATATAAGGCCAGGAACACCTTCCAATCAGTCTCCCAGACCTGGGTCTAGTGATCCATTTAGTCTACAGCGCTCTGTATCATTACAAGAAGGGGTGCAGCACAGTCCAGGTGCCCACCCAGGACATATTCATCCTGAACATCCATTCAGTACTTCCCCCAGGGGAGCAGGGGCTGAATATGCCCAGTCCCCTGGTACCCCTAAGACCCCCATGGATCCCTACGGGTCACCTGTTCCTGGAAATCAGAGACCTAGACACCCACTGGATCCCAGTCAGCAGGAGCTGGTCAGGCAGAAATACATGGAACAGGGAATGAATCCAGAAACCAGCTCTCCTTTGGTGAGTTCACTGTTTGTTATATCCTTCTTCTGCCTGTGAACCCTTCCTTAAATGTTGTATCTAACAAAGTCTAACAGTGTATCATTTATTCACTCAGTTCTTGCATATTTGAGTATCAAGGTATCGTATCTCTCTGCTCAAGTTTGTGATGAATTCAACGTCTTTTCTTCCCTATGTAACACTGCTGTACTTGCTCAATGTTAATGTAAAGTCGATATAATTTAACATTCATTATTATTAGTTTTTATAAAGTTTATTTTAATTTTTTGAGCTTCTTATTGCATTATGTTCTGTTTTATTTTTTCAAAATTCTACTTCTAAAATTTTTAACAATTTTCATGTCATTCTTTCTGGAGAAAATGTTGAGAACTTTCAATGGAGAAAAAGTTGAGAATTTTCAATGTTTTACTCCAATTTTGTATGACTGCTTAGCCAGTGTTAATATATGTAGTCAGGATGATAAATGTGACTGGAATAGAGGAACTCATTAAAATACTGAAATAATGCGAAATTTGAACTGTGGCATTGAAAGCAGAAACAGTTTGTTTTACATTTTCTCCTCAATAGAACCACATGTAAAATATCATTTACATTTCTAGCTCATTTTTATAAGTATTCAATTCCAAATCACATTTATAGGCCTCCTATCTCATCATTCTACTCTACTATCAGATTTAAATCTATTTTGAATATTATTTATTAAATCTTCATGAAATTCTGATTTAGAGTAAGGATGTTGTCTAGAATGGCTGGCTCTTTGAGAAGTTTTAACTTATATGTAGTGTAGATATAGTCAGCTTTGTACTTTGTATCTCAGTGTGACAATTCTTGTTCTCAGCTTCGTCAAATCTTCCGGCGGCCTCCCCTCGGGGGCCCCAACATGTGGCCTAACCAAGGGGCCCCTCCATATGGGCCCTCAATGCAACAGCCAATGTGGGTAAGTTTCTCTCACACTTTTCTGCTATATAATCATAACTTTATGTATGTTAGATTAGGCTTTTTATTTTATCACCTAACACTGAATGTGATTTTTTATTGATTTTCTTTTATTTTGAATAGTAGGATTTATAATGTGTATCTTATAAGTTTATGTAATCTACACCCTGGGTATAGTCTGTCACGTGACTTCATGGATGACGTGTGCGCGAGTGATTCGCATTTTCTTTCGCTTGAGGTTTGTAATCACACTTTTTACATGTTTTAAGATTTTGTTTCTCTGTGAAACTTGTCCCGTACCATCAATGTCTGAAGACGATCTAATTCACCAAATATCTCATCCAAGCGTGTCCCGGTTAAAGAGAAATTCGCACTTTTGTGTCTCGCAAAATGACGTGTGCGCGAGTAAATCGAATTTTACGAAGGATGGGTGCGCGAGTCTAACATATTTATATTCATTTAAACAATTCTGCAAGCTAGACACAATATTGATTTGAATTTTTATTGATTTGATTGATATTGAACTTCATGGCTCACATTAAACAATTTCCTTATGAGTCGTTTCATGAAATTGTTCTAGAATTGTAATAAATACTATAAGGGCACGGTGTTTTCTAACTATAATAACTACCTCAATAATTTATGATACCTTAAAGTGTTCTTGGGGTATATATTTTTAAACCAAATTCAAATCATTTTTAGTAGGGGAGGGGGAGGTATCAAGATTTTACCCATCAGAATACCTTGCTTTGGGGACAAATGCATGGTAGTGACGGGAATCATTACCCAAACTATTTTGGGCGCAAATCAATTTTGTATTTGACTTTCTATTATGCTGTTCTTCAATTGTTTTTTACAAATGGAGGATCTGAGTACACGAAAGCTCATATTATATTGCTACATTTATAGCGAACATTGATTTCTGAGTCTGTAAAAACAAAGTATGTGGGATCACCCTTGGTATACGCAGCTGACGAAATGGACCGGTATGGGTCAAAAGCTGGACCTGTACGGGTGAACTTTGGGGGTACTTAAAATCATTCGGAGGGATCATATATTTCAACTTAGATACGAAGAAGTCTGTTTTAAATTCAAATAAAACCGTTAACCTGTACCGGTCCAGCTTTTGACCCGTACCGATCCATTTTGTCAGCTGCGTATACCAAGGGTGGGGATGCGGAAGAAGTTAGAAGCTCCTATAATTATTTGATATTACTTGGTATCATGGGCTTCCCCTTACTATTCCTTACATGGTTCTGATCGTGGCGGATGCCGAGTAACCACATAACAACTCTGACCCCCCCCCCTTGTATGGGATGTCAATAAATGAATATGCTGCCGGTTTTATGAGACAAAAATTTAATTCAATTTTTGGTTCAAATTTTAATTCACCTGCAATGCCGGACAGCCCTACAAGCTATTTCAAAACATTTATTGTCATTAAACGTAGACATGTATGTGCCATACATGAAACATCTACAAAATAGCAAACTATTCTTTCACATACTACTTTAAGATGACAAAAACAAATGTCACGTGAGTTGTATTCTGCCTTAGCTTGCAGAATTGTCTCAAGTGAATAAAAATATTTTAGACTCGCGCACCCATCCTTCGTAAAATTCGATTTACTCGCGCACACGTCATTTTGCGAGACACTAAGTGCGAATTTCTCTTTAACCGGGACACGCTTGGATGAGATATTTGGTGAATTAGATCGTCTTCAGACATTGATGGTACGGGACAAGTTTCACAGAGATACAAAATCTTAAAACATGTAAAAAGTGTGATTACAAACCTCAAGCGAAAGAAAATGCGAATCACTCGCGCACACGTCATCCATGAAGTCACGTGACAGACTATACCCAGGGTGATCTAATTAGTTGTGACTTTGTACGATCCCTGTTTCTCTGGATAAATTTTTCCATAGTCATGATGCATCATGGAATTAATTCAGAGATATCTACCTACTAAATAGATGTAGATGGTTTTCAAATGACTTCAATCTGATTTTCAATCTGATTTTGATAAATTTGGGGGATTGCCTCCCAAAATTATATGGTCGTACGAATTTACAACCTCATATTTCATATGTCTCTATATGTTATACTTATAAGTTGTGAGTTTTTGTAAAGTGTAAACTTTTAAATGTAGAATTTCTGTCTTACATAAATTTATACTTCTCACTTATGTATAATGGATATCTCGGACCTGATTGGTTTAACTTCCTGAACCAATTAGATAACAGATATCTAAAATCGAAATGTAGTGAAAACGCAAGTGTGAATAATTTCTTTTTTTAGGAATTTTGTAATATTTAGGGAAATGGTATGACACATCTCTCAATGCATTTCTCTTGTGTACTTCAGAATATCAATGATCCAAACTTGGCCAAGACAGATGTTGAGAAACAGCACCTCAGGGAACTTCTAGCCAAGCAAAGTCTGCAGAGACAAAACAAAAAGAAATTAGAGGAACATGAACGGTTGTTGAGAGACCAGCCTCAGCCAGGTATGCCCCCAAGACATTGGGTAGGAGAAAGGGGACCTTCACCTATGTTTATGGAGGGTGGTGATGTCCCAGCTAGACCTCCCCCAGGGTATCCAGGTCATCCTGTCCCACCCCCAGGTCATAGAGGACCTCCCCCAGCACAGTTTTCACCACGGGCTCACCCAGGGGAGTTTGGACCAGACTTACGCCCCAGAGGTCCACCTGGAGAGTTTGGACCAGAGTTTAGACCAAGGGGGCCTCCTGGAGAATTCCGACCAGAGTTTAGGCCCAGAGGCCCACCAGGAGAATATGGAGCTCATATGGTTAGGGGAGAGAGATGGCCAGAGGGTCAAATGGGTCGACCACCTCATCCAGGTCAAATGAGACCAGGTGAGTACTTAGCATTAACTCATTATTAGTTGCATACTCAACTAGTTTTGTTGTAGTCTCATTATTATGATGCTAAAATGTGACAATGACATCATGATTGTAATAAATGTATTACTTTTATTGTAGAAATAGACCCATTTAGGCAACATGGACCATATGGTGAGCTTGGTATGAGACCACGATTCCCAGGAGAGCCCTGGCATGGTGGTAGAGTCCCATTTAGTCAACATGGGAGCTTTTCTACTGGAGGACCTCCTGCACCAGTAATGAGACACCCTGGACAATCAATGGCAGATATTAAATCACAACAGGTATATGTATGTTTAAAGTGCTATATGTTGTCTTGGGCTGATTGGTGTGTGTCTGTGCATTTGGACAAGCACCACATAAATCTATATAAGGCTTGGAAGCAATTGTAAATATGTAAAGCGTGCAAAATGATATCTTATGTTTTGAACACAATTATTAGACACTGGTTTTAGTATTAGTGTTTCAATGTTTGATGTTTATTGCAGAGCATGACAGCAGCTGAGCGACAAAGAACACCATATCTTCATATGTTTACTGAACGCCTACGTCAGAACCAACACAGAATGCCGCGCCCCGGTGGTCCAGCTGGGTCAGATGGCAACCCCCTTGACCCCTATGATCATCTTGTGCGTCATCAGTCACCACATGGACCCCATGGGCAATCAGGGTTCCCTGGACCCTACAGAATGCCAACACCCCCTGGGATGACCCCAAGGGAGGGTAGCACAGAGAGTCAGCCTGGTACCCCCCAGGCACAACCTTCTCCCCACCAACAGCCACCACACTCTCAGGGTAAGTTATGTCGTACTATTTAATGTTTGAATAGAATTTACATTACTAGTATGTACATGTATTTACCTGCATCACATTATCAGTAATTGTTATTGGAACAATCTATCATTTGTAGCTCTAATGTAATATATAAATTCAACATTGTTGTCTAAGCTGTATAATGTTATGAAATTAAACCAGTTGTGCCCAACCATTTAGTGTAATAATGCTGGTTTATGTGTTGCAGCTAATGAAGTGCCACCTAGTGGTGGAGCCCCCAGGCCTGAGGGAGGACGCAAGCCAGATGAAGGGCTTGAAGATCTACTGGCTGCAGATGGCACATTTAACTTACTAGAATTTGCAGACCCTGAGATTCAGAAAACACTCGTGGAAGACCATGATAAGAGTATGTTTGATGAACATTTGGGATTAATGGGGGAAGAAGAACAAGGTAGCCAGGGCTATCCTCCTAAAGCTTCTACTCCTAAACATGGTATACCTAGACCTGGCCTGTCTAAAACAGGAATGCCTAAAGTAGGTGCTCCTAAAGCGGGTGTTTCTAAACCAGGTACACCAACACCAGGTACCACTAAACCTTCAACTCCTAAGCCTACTGGTACTACAGCTGATCGAACCCCAAAACAAGCAACATCCGCACCTGGGACTCCAAAGCAAGGAACCTCCAGACCTGCTACTCCTAAGTCAAGCTCCTCTAAACCAGGGACTCCCAAAAGCGATAGTCCCATACCTATGCAGACTGAGCCTCCAGCTAAGGAACCTGTTTCATCTGGTCATGCCCAGTCAGAGCAGGATTTAACTGAAAAGTCAGTATCCTCCCCAGCATTGTCTAATACCAGTACATCATCAAGAAGAACATCACAGGATAGTGATTTCCAGTCTAAATTTCTCGAATTCAGCAAGAAAAAGAATGCAGATGGTACTCCTGTTAAACTGGAGACTATACCATCAGCAGATGTTAATCAACCAATTGACTCTAACACAGAGGATTCCAATAATGATGGTCAAGTAAAGAATGAGCCTACAACTCCTGACAGAAAGAAAGAAGCTACCAAAATGGTCACACGATCAAAATCTCCAAAGAATATTTCAAGAGCTTCAACTCCTAAAAATAGCCAAGATGAAACTGTTCCAGATGTCAGTAAAGAAGAAACAGATGAGACAACAAAGGTAGAGAAAGTTGATCAATTTGATGGAGCTGGTGATGATAAAACTGAAGAAAATGCACCAAGCGATACCAAGAATCAATCTAATGAAGACACTGGACAAACTAATGAGCCTTCTGAAGAAACATGCCTACCTATTACTGATACCAGTCAAATTACAGTAGAAGACCCAAGTGGTCTAGGAATGGGGTCAAATGTTATCCTTGATCCTAGGCTGGAGGATGTACCACCTGAGTGCCCTACTGCTCCTCCACCTGGGAACACTCCAGAAGCAACCATTGCTGCCCCATCTGAGGTGAAACCGACTGGCCCAGTTTCAGAAAAATCAATAGAAAAGCCTGCAGACAAATTGCCACAGATTCCAGTACCAACAGCATTGCCTGCTGTGACTTTGCCTGCCTCGCAAGTTGGTGAACTGCCAAAGGTTCACAGTCCAGCACAAACTGAACAAAATACTGCTCTCAGTCATCATGCACAAGCACCATTTCAACCAGTTGTTTCAATGGGGGGTATGAGATTGAGTTCAGCCACTACATTGAGCCAACAGCCCAGTGCTGTCAGCTCTCAACTGTCTGAGAGTCAGGGCTTTGTTCCTCGGAGCACTGTGCAATCGTTAACCCAGGCGGCCATGTCAATGCCAGCACAGCCTCTGGCTCAGGTTGCGCTCTCAACAGCAGCTGGCTATGAGGCACTACCCCATTCTGAAGGTGTTACATCTAGTGAAGCTACTGGTCCTAGATCCACACCTCCCATGTCACAGTTGCCCATTTACAGACCCCCTATGTCAACACATGGTGGGAAGCTCCCCACTCCTCCAGTCTCTAGTGGAATGCCTGCCTGGCCAATCCCACATTCAACAAGTAGTCAACGTGGCCATACACCTCCATCCTCTCTTGGGATGTCTTCCTGGCATACACCTACATCTTCAGCTGTTCATAGAGTTGGAACACCTCCTGTGTCCAGTGTCCAGTCTCCACAGCACATGTCTACTAGTGGGCATCATGTACCAGCCTCAATGAGACAAAGTCCTATTGCTGCTCAACATGGAAGTCCACTTGCAACTGATGGACACCATCAGGTATCTATACCCTCCCCTATGTCGAGTGGTGTTCCAGGTATGCCTCATGCTGTTCCAATTGATGCCCACACCCCACCTTCTGCTTCAGAGCTTGGTGCTGTTGCATCATCTGCTGCTACCCCACCAGGTATGCCTGGGATGGGACCAGTTGTTGGGCCAAGAATTCCAAGGATCCCTAGCCCACGTGGCCCTCCAATGCAGCCAGGCATGATGCCCAATACCCCAGCTAGTATGGCTATGATGTCTATGAGCCAACAGGCAACAAGGGGACAGAGGCCTAGACATACAGGACCAGGTGGGCCAAATAACACACCCTTAGAGCAGCTTACGTCACTCAGTGAGAGTCCTATGGGGAGTCCTGGAGCTGGGATGAGAGCTATGAATCCAGCCATGTTCCAACAGCAGCAGCAAAGGCCTGGCATGCCTCCAACCTCAAACTGGGTGCCAGGAATGCCACCCCCCACTGCAGAGTCTATGATAGCCACAGAGCACAAGATGCCCTCTCTTACACCAGGGCGAGAAGGTGGCCACATACGTGTACTGAGACACCAAGGTCAAGAGAGTATGCAGCCCCCTGGACAACAATGGATGCCAGGGATGCCTCCACCAGGAATGATGCCCCCTAGGGGTGTACATCCAGGTATGCACCCACAGGGAATGCCTAGGGGGGCTCCATTTCCACCAGGGTCTAGACCACAGAGTATGCCTCCCAGACCCGGAATGCCCCCAAGACTCAGTATGCCACCTTTCTCACATCCTGGAATGGCACAAGGAAATCGAGCCACTATGAGTCCAACACATGGGCCACAAGGGACGGTCTCTATGCCCTCTCCTGATCCCAATATACCACGCCCTAGAATGAGCACCTCTCCTGCATCGAGTCTTACCAGAGGACCCTCTCCAAGACCAGCACCTAGTGCAGGGACACCAGAAACTCCTCCCATGAGCACTGCAGAACAAAAAGAGAAATTGGCACTGTTGAAAGATCAGCCACTTTTGTTAGAAGACCTTCTTGAACAGGTAAGAAATTTTTGCCATGATCTCTTCCCTAATTCATAATGAAGCCTCAGTGTTAGTCCTAGGTCTATACCTTCAATGTCAATAAGATTTATTATATCTGATATATAACATAACCTGGCCCTCTACAAATAAAATTTATTTCAGTATATGATTGATAATGATAAATTGACCTGGTTCTAATGAAAAAGAGCAATTATTGTAACAGAAGAAATTTTACCTATTCATTTAACAGTGACAGCTGGTAAGATAATGGAGTTCAAGGATGGTTTAATTTAATGATTTAGTATATGTTGTTATTCACTAAACTTTGAGCAAAAATTTGCAGTATCGCAAAGTATCATCCCTTCCATCTGCCTTTATATGAAACTTCTTAATAGCACCTTTTCTTGGAACTTTTATCTTTGAGCTATTAAGAAGTTATGATTGTGTACCTTTTCAGGAGAGACTGGAGCAGGCACGTCAGGCTCAGCAACAGGCGATGCTACATAAGCAGGATGGTTCCAGCCTCCTAACTGATGCTGATTTTGATAAACTTAAAGTTGATGTGATGGCACCTGATGGTCAAATCCGACCACAAGGTAGGTTAGAATTTGTGGCAGGGGAAATGTTTTGGTTTTATTCAATGTCAGGTTTCTTAATCTTTAATTATGAAAGTCCTAAAATATGGCAAAAATTAAAGAGATGAAACTTGACAATGAATATTGTAAATGTGGCAAAAATAACATTTCACTCGAATAGTGTTTATCGTTTCTAACAGCACTCCAAGCTACTACCAAAAAGTATTGCTTGGTATACCTAGATATCACTGCATGTTGCTAATAATGCAAAAAATTCACTTGTTATGTCCCCACCACATAGTGTGGGGCCATATTGTCGGCCTAGGCGCGTCCGTCCGTCCGTCTGTCTGTCCGTCTGTCTGTCCGTACGTCCGGGAGTTTTCTCCAAAACCGCTACAGATATCACCTTCAAATTTTCAGGGATAACTTATGAGTGCATACAGATGTGGATGAAAAAAAATTAACTCGATACCAACTTCCTGTTGGCCATTTTGAAGTCAAATGCTAAAATCCTTGTCTGCAAACTTTAAGAAAAACGGCTTCACAGTTGCTTTTAAAACTTTAACATCTTGTTCAGCTCACTTCATTCTAGATCTGATTAGGTTTTGGACCTGTAAGCTCAGTCATGTCAGCCATTTTGAATGTTTTAAGAAAAGTTAGCGCACGATAATACTTTGTATCATATTGAATGGTGTTATTCAGTTTTCATACTTAAACTATTTAGTAGCTTTATAAATAAGTTCAGGTGTACTTTGTTGTAAAAGCCTATGTTATTGTTAACAGTAGTTATATGTGATAATTTTGTTGAAAGAAATTAGCAAAAACTCATAATCACTTTTTTATTGTCGGCCATTTTGGATTTTTCGGTCCTAAAATCTCGTGTGTAAAGTCTTGTCTACACGTTTTCAGGTGAACCATTTGGTGGATCAATTTCAAATTTTCAGGGATGATTCTTAGTATGAAAATCTAGATCTGATTAGTTTTTGGGCATTCTGGGTAAATGTCAAGGCAGCCATTTTGGATTTTCCATCCTAAAATCTTGTCAGTAAAGTCTTGTCTACGCATTTTCAGGTGAACCGTTTGGTAGATCAATTTCAAATTTTCAGGGATGATTCTCAGTATGAAAATCTAGATCTGATTAGTTTTTGGGCATTCTGGGTAAATGTCAAGGCAGCTATTTTGGATTTTCCGTCCTCAAATCTTGTCTGTAAAGTCTTGTCTACGCATTTCCAGGTGAACCGTTTGGTAGATCAATTTGAAATTTTCAGGGATGATTCTCAGTATGAAAATCTAGATCTCATTAGTTTTTATGCATTCTGGATAAATGTCAAGGCAGCCATTTTGGATTTTCCGTCTTAAAATCTTGCCCGTAAAGTCTTGTCTACGCGTTTTTAGGTGAACCGTTTGGTAGATCAATTTCAAGTTTTCAGGGATGATTCTTAGTATGAAAATCTAGATCTGATTAGTTTTTGGGCATTCTGGGTAAATGTCAAGGCAGCCATTTTGGATTTTCTGTCCTAAAATCTTGTTTGTAAAGTTTTGTCTACGCATTTCCAGGTGAACCGTTTGGTAGATCAATTTCAAATTTTCAGGGATGATTCTTAGTATGAAAATCTAGGACAGATTAGTTTTTTGGCATTCTGGATAAATGTCAAGGCAGCCATTTTGGATTTTCGGTCCTCAAATCTTGTCTGTAAAGTCTTGTTTACATGTTTTCTGGTTAACTGTGTGACGGATCAATTTCAAATTTTCAGGGGTGCTTCTTAGTATGAAAATCTAGAACTGACTTATTTTTGGGCATTCTGGGTAAATTTTAAGGTGGCCATATTGGATTTTCCATCCTCAAATTGTGTTGTTAAAGTCTTGTCTACTCATTTTTAGGATAACCATTTGATGGGATCACCCATAGGTGGGGACATTTTGTACACATTTGTGTTCTTGTATTCTTTATTCACTTCTGATTGTCAATCATTCACTTGTAGGCCCACCTACATCTAGTGGAGCCACACCCACATCTGTACCCCAGACACAGGGTTCACATGTAGCCACACCTACAATGGAACATCCTCCAAGAATGCCACACCCTGGCCCTATCCAGATGCCAACATCTAGGGAAATGTCTCCACATAATTTTCCACCTGGGTTCCAAAGACCCCCAGGGCCATTGCCCCCTGGTGTCTCAGGGGGTCAGATGAGCCCCAGGGTGCCTTCACCCTTCCCCGCCTCCTCTGGTGTGATGCACCCTCCATCACACAGCCCTGCTATGCAGTCACCAAACCTGAGACACCCAACTCCACCCCCTATGCCCATGCCTCCAGGTATGTATCTACCTTATAACTGTTGTAAAATATCACTCACAAATCACTGCACATATCAATCTTAAATGATGCCTTGACACAACTAACTAACGTTGAGGAACTAAATACATGTACATGGCATGTTTTCAATTGTATCCTTTACTTCTGAGTGTTCATAGATCTTCCTAAAATAAAATTGAACATGGTAGAGTATACTAGAGTTGTCTTCAGGCAAGGATTTCCCAGGGAAGGCAGTTTTATCAAATTTGATACTTTCCATGCTCAGGGGATTAAGAGTTGAACATGTATTGATTATGGATGAATTGTTTTAGATATATACTGAAGTTGAAGTATTTAAATGAGGTAATCCATGTTTTCTAGTACACTGTGTTGTATTTGGGATTTTCTAGTTGATGGTGATAAGCAACAGACACAAATGGAACATGAAGAGTGGCTCACTAATAACGCCACCAGGCTAACCATGCAAATAAAGTTCCTGGAACAACAACTAGGCAAGCAGAAGAAATCAAAGAAACAACTTACAGCCAAGCAAAGACAGGTAAAAATACTCTTAGAATATTCAGATCTAGATCTACAACTGTTCAAGTAGTATCTGAAACTCTTGCCCCTGACAATACAGAATATGTGTAGCACTGTATATACCCCATCAACATGTAGCCTTCATTCCATGTACCCTCAATCAATTGGATACTACCTGAGGAAATGTGAGGCACAAATCTGGTGTATATGGAATACTATTCCACCCTCAGTCCATTGAGAGATATGTATATTTCCCTCTGGATAAACCCTATAGCTCAAACCTCCCAATACATTACGTTTATGTTAATGATTGCAGGCAAAGAAGAATGGAAATGAGCTGAGTGATGTAGACGCTCGAGAGATAGAGAGAGTCAACCAAGACATCAGCCAGCTCAATAAACAACTAGAACACTTCAGAAAACAACAACGAGCCCATCAACAACTCATACAGGAGTATCGCTTCAAGCAACAGGTATGTTGTACTAGCTTTATGTTGATTTTCCTTTCTTAATATATAATGTATGGGTTAGAGGTTAAATGTTGATATTTTAAGCCATGTTAAGTTCAGTCCCTGGTTCTTTAATGGAGTCTGGTGTTGGTACGGTCATTACGCAAAGTCAAATGAATGTTGGGATGATATGTTGTAAGTTGTGAATACATGGAATCTATTTTTATGTCACCACCAAGTTGTGCATATTGTTAAAGTTACCATTTTTCATGACTGGTGGTGGCATTCAGTGTCAGCATCTATAACAAATATTTTTTTCACCTTTTTCTCTGAGGTATGCATACTAATACCTGCATGAAATTACATCGTTTGATTCATTGAATAAGATTCTATGACCAGAATAAGGGAATAGCTAGGGCAGATATTGTAAGAATTTTGTCGGAGTTTGACATTCGGTGTCTTTAACTTGTATTGTGACAACTTCCAATAACTTAACAAGTACTGTTTAGACTGACTCGTGAACATATATAAACATGTTATGAATTCCAACACATTTCTGCCAATATCCGTTACCATGGCAACAAATAAGTGGACTTGTAATATTTTGTATCCATTTGCAATAATTTTAAAGATGGTGACATTTTGTCATGTTATTATGCCTTGTTGCCATTTACAGTGATTTTCTAGGTCATATGGCTAAACTATGAGGATTTTAAACATTCTTTTACGATCGTACCAATAATGGACCCCTGCTTCATATATAACCATGTAACAAAAATAAAAGGCACATTTACCACATGCACACACACATATGTAAATCTAATCAAATAAAATAAGATTTTTATCAATGAGAAATTGTTTGCCTCAATAAAAGTTACTTAATTCTGTACAGACAAAAAGTGCTTTAGGCGAGACTATCTACAATTTAGTTGAGTCCAATACATATTCAGATTTAGGTAATGTGCCTTTTATAATGTGAGACAGATATAGAAAACTGTTTTATTATTAGAAAACCAGAGACTAAACTTCACGGCTTTATATTTTGTGTTTTTAATTCATGCTTCCCACATTAATGTTTGCTTTAGTGTTGTATCTTTATTTTAAAACAAGCCGCATATAAAGCAAATGCAGTTGTGCCGGCAAATTGTTAATAATATTATTCTATGGTGGCGCTTTCACCAACTCACAGATGACTTCATATATGTCAATTTTTTTATACATGCTTTGAAACAGCAACAAGAAATGAACTCCAACATTAAACTTCACAAGGATTTCATTGACAGCAGGCATTGCCAGGCAATAGTCAAATTTCTTCAGTTGTTTTCACCAAAATTGCCTGTTTTGAGTAACTTTGCAGCCCTTTCTATGCTAAATAATTTGCAATGATTTTACCTGTTGTTTTTTATTTTTTTATTTTGTATTATGCCTGTTGTGGTATTCCAATGAAACCCCTGCAAGATAATGTTTTTGAGCTATTCTTTAAAACTAGGAGTATCAAATCTATTATTCTTAAAATCAAAGCGGTCACAGCATATGTCATGTAAGATTTCCTAAATGCTGCAGATATCCATATTATGAATTCATCTGTGAGGTTTCACATGCTTGCCCAGACCCTCGTGGGTGTCTGTTAACGTGCATGCACAATTCATGCTTGTAGGAGCGCTATGGAACACAATGGAATAACCCTGGTTCCATGGGTCCTCCCCCATCTCCCATGATGCCTCATTCCCCATCTACCATGATGCCCCAGTCCCCATCTCCCATGATGCCCCAGTCTCCCTCCACCATGATGCCCCAATCTCCTAATCCCATGATGCCACAGTCTTCAAATCCCATGCTACAATCTTCCACACCCCACATCGTTTCCCAGTCCCAGGTGAGTCCTAGAATCCCTGGCAGTAGTGCTCCCATGCGGATGTCCCCTAGTGCCAAACAGGAGTATGATGCATACATGCAGAAGCGACTGGGCATGGTTGGTGGAGCGCAAGGTCCACGTGGCCCTCTCCCAGCATCTATTATAGCAGCTGTAAGTACACACAGCTTTTATTGTAGTCAATAACCAAGGCTCTCTATACCTTAACAGCCACCTCTAAATACAGTACAGTACAATAAAATAATAACCAACAGTTATCATATAAAATGTTTGATTAAACAAATTATAAACTGTTTATTAGAATAGTTGTATGTTTATTGGTCTCATTTGATGTCTGCTTAGTGGTGCACTGTAATTTATAAGGAGCCATTGTGTGCAGTGTTGTCTTGGCTTGCTTTACTGATCTACTTGTGTGAATTACGTAGATGACTTTTTAACGTAGATGTTTGTGACAGCATCATGCTAAATGCCTTTAATTTCTGCTTCAGTCTTCAACATAGCTTTATAGATGACCAGTAACCTTAACTTTGTAATAGTTTAGCTGTTTGACATTATGAATAATACTATACTGTTAACCATCTCCCCCATTTGTGGAACACACCTTTCCAAAATCTACATGATTTTAATCAGATGTAATATCTTGTATTTGATTTGGATTGATCTAAATGCATGTTTCAAAAAGTCTGAAAGTTTGAAAAGTCATGTATTTTGTCAGGTGTGTTCCCAAACAGGGATTCCCATGCTGAAGTAATCTAACTTTCTCTTGTAGTTTCATGAGGAATTCATGCAACAAAAAATGGGTTGGCCACGTCCTGGGGGCCCTCCCCCTCAAGGCCCGCCCCCTCAAATGATGGGCGGGTCATATGGGATGCACCCCAACCAATCAGACTATATAGTAAGTTACACAGGGGCCGTTTCATCTGAAATTAATTTTGATGATAAATTTTTATATTATATCTAAGATCTTTATGCAACGGGCCCCTGACTCAATTAAACATATCATATGTGACATAGGCATATATTGTAATAGTAAATTATAGTTTGCATGGATCATAGAACTACTTTCCTTTGCTTTATTTCAATGAAGATTGTGAAAATGATAGCAATATCTCATCTTTTCTCATAAAAATATCTTGTTCATTTAAATACAAAGTTACAAGTTGTACCTCTAATTGCTTCTGAAATACTGAATTAAAACTAAATCTGCATGGCTTACACTTCATGGAAATGAGTTTTTGTTTGTCTTTTCACAAATGCTTTGTAATTGCTTTATTGAAAAACACAGTGCAGGAAAAACCTTGATCTAATTGTTTATCTGTCATCTTATGATAAATAGCTAAAAATCTAAAAATTGTTTTACTGATAATAAAGTACAATACAAGCAATATTACACTTACACTATCTCCTGAATCATTTAGATAATTTAATTTGCATTGGAATATATCACTAGATATAGGTGAATTAATATGACAGCTTTCTTTGCATGTTCATTACTGCATCTATAAACATTCTAGTTTTCTCATTTACGTTCATTCATTATCACTGAGGTGTAGCTGAATCCATAACAGCCGTTATAGTGACAAAATGGCATTTTGATAGTAATGTTCTGTAGAGGGTATCACCATATTTTAAGGCTGTCCATCCATTTCCCACACTATTGTCCATTTTTGAAAATAACAAATGTGTGCACAAGGAGGTAATGCCAGTGTTATATCTTAGTCGGATTTTCTCAATTTGTATTACATGTACTTTATTATTATCCCAGCGAACAAAATCCATATAGTGAAGCCCTCCAACCATTCGTTCATTTTTCTGACCATGTCTAATATACAATTGTACTAATCAACTTGTTGCTAGTCAGTCCATTTTGTTTCTCTAATGACTGTTATGGATAGAGCTACTCCACAGTGATTACTAAAAGGAAATTATTATTACATTTTCATTGTATGTTCAGCTGTGTAATTTCTTCTTTGTAAGCTTTCCTTATTTCAATAAAACATAATTTATGAGGACATTTTTGATTAATCTGAAAATGCATCATTTAACATTGCTTGGTAGTGCAGTAATATTCTTACATGCACATAGAAAACAGTTTAACATCATTTATAACAACATTTTGTCATTTCTTAAAAACTAAGTTAGAGTATATGATGTTATGGATGGTGTTTGTACATCCATAGTTGTTTACCTGTAAATACAAAGGACATTTAATTCACTACAATAAATAGTCGAAAAGTAATAAACATACTAGTTATATTGACAGATATTCATAACTAAGAAACATATTTTACACAACTCTAAGAAAACAATAATGAATTGATTGAGGATTTTCCTGACTAATGGGACTTGTCTGTGTTGGTAAGATGAATAAGAATACAAATTATTGTGGATTTAATAATAGACTGAAATAAAGAGAAAAGTGAGCGTGACATTGAGGGATACAAATGATTCATTGAGGGAGAATTTTTTTGTTTGTAGGATGAGAATAATCCATTCAGCGAGAATTTTCAGGAACGTGAGAGGAAGCATCTTCAACAAGAGAAGCAGCGCCTTCAGATGCAGCAGCATATGGATGAGCAGCGCATAATGCAGCGGATCGAGCAGGAAGGCCAGAAACGTAAGTGAATATTGAGACTGAAATTCATCAACAAGATCTGTAAATATCAAAACTTTGATTTTGACAAATTCCTCTGTTTAAAATTCTGTATTTCTTACTTGTGAGAATAAAGTATTCTTCTTTTTTTGTTATTCCAGAACCTGGTGAGCCTCCAATACCTCCACAGATGCCATTCTTCAGTAATTCTGGGCCTGGGGGACCCGGAGTACCTGGTGGTCCAGGAGGAGATAGGTACCGCTTTTCACCCCCAGGAAGTGCCCCACCTCAATTTTCTCCTAATAGTCAGAGATTCAGATTTCCTGGTGACCCTCGACAACCATATCCAGGAGATCCTAGACAACCATATCCTGCGGATGCTAGGCAGCCATACCCTGGAGATCTTCGACAACCTTATCCTGGAGAACCTCGGCCACAATATCCTGGAGAACCCCGGCAACCATATCCTGGAGAACCTCGACAACCGTATCCTGGAGAACCTCGTCAACCATTTCCTGGAGACCCAAGACAGAGACAACCCTTCCCAGGAGAGCAAAGACCACCATATCCAGGGGAACAGAGAGCAAGGTTTCCAGGGGAAAGGTTCCCAGGTAAAATATAAAAACAACTTAGAATGTAAAATCCTGTTGCATTTCATTGTATTCCATACACTGGATATACATGATAATTTATATACTATACAACTCATTTGTAACAGGGCTAGAAATATTTTAACTGATAAAATTTGCCTTGATATTTTACAGCTTCCAGATTTGTACATGAAGCTGCACAGAGGTTTGCTGGAGACATGGCCCAAAGATTCCGCCTACCTGGTGGTATAGGCGCCAACAGGGAGGGGGAGATGTACATTGGGGGTCAGGGTCCACAGGGCCCCAGAATGCCTTACGGCATGCATATGACACAAGGTACGTCTTACTGGAACAGTAGATGATTTCTTTTACACCTTTATTCCACCTTTGATTTAAACACTAGTATTTTTAGTCACCACAATTTAGTGTTCACCAGGTGTATATTTGTTTGAAGTTGTATGTGTGGCTAATTTATATGTATAGGGTACCCTAATCACCTGGCTCCAAATTACCCTGCCGATGCTAAATACCCTCCCGACCCAGACTTGGATGAAAAGCCTATTCGCAAGAGCCGGAAACGCAGAACTAAGAAACAGGCCGCGGCAGCATCCCCCAATACGGCTAATGCCCAGCAAATGGCTGCCGCGTTAGGTTTGTGGATTCAATTGTGTGCGGTGCCAGATTAAACATTCACTACTGGGCCTTTGTCTCTCCTTTAGCTAATAACGGTGTAGGCTCCAATCCTTGTGGTACAAAGTATTTCACTATGTGTTCATCTATAATGTATAGAAATAGACATGTGGCATATACCTGCATATTAGTATGAATTTTCTACACGACAGTGAAACAATGCTTACAAAATGTTTTGATAAATATTTTAATTTTGTATTACAACTTGGTCTCCATTTCATAATTGCCTTGGCATCTAAGAATATTTAACACATGTCTGTTCCTATAGTGATTCACATAGTGAGATCTTGTATTCTGTGTGGTATTTATTTCAGGAATTTCTATTTACACTACAGGATTTTAACATGTAGACTAGAATCCCATGTTATAGCTTTTTCTTGTAGTAATTGATCTAATAACAGTGTACATGTAGGGTGAACGGCCTCATCTAATATCACACTATGTTGTACAACTTGTACATTACTAGTTTCACTCACTGTCATATCAGGGCTTTTATATTGTTTCAATACGTTTTACATCATGCACAAATTAGGTGATAACAAATAGAAAGAAACTGCTTATTAATGCTTTTTTAGTTTGAATTAATATTTAGTTTGAAAACTGATACTCTAGATTTTGTAGTCAAAATTCAATATTTTTATAACTCAATGTTGTATTAATGGAAATTATTTTAATGACATGCTTTCGATATGTATAACCAGTGTATTTAAAATTTGATGTTGTATCATTGTAGCACCATTCAGAGGGATCTGCATTACTTTGAGTGAAAATTCATGAAATTAAAATTTATTACTATTTTTAGGCCAAGATGGAGGAATGCCCCAATCACCAGTGACTTCAGGAGTCCATGGAATGCCTCCAGGCCCTGGAATGATGCCTCCTGGAATGGTACCTCCTGGGAGAATCACCCCTCAGACTCCCACATCACAACAAGGTATCATCGAAAATATCCTCCAAAAACTTGGAAGTGATGATGATATGGATGGCCACAAATTTGAAACACACAAGCATGAGAAGGCTGAGAGCAAGTCAAAACCTATGTCATCATCTGAGAAGTTAGAGGCATCGATCTCAGCTGTCGCCAGGGGGGAGGGTGAGATAAAATCGCCTGGCGCTAGGGAGGGTAGGTCGGCATCGCACGATAGTGGAATCATGCAGTCTCTTGTCGAAGCTGTCAGAGCCGAGATCAAGCAAGAAAAATCTGATGAAAAAACAGGTACTTTTTAGTAATCTCTTCTGTAAAACTGTATAATCTCTCAGGTTTCTAGGATCGTTGCAAATTGCAAAATCACAATGAATTTAAAAGTTTTATGATGATTTCTTGTACCTATAGAGTATAAATGTAGTCTATTTTATTTCAGCATCATATGATCCCAGCATAACTGAAGAGCAACGTGTCAGTCAGAATATGCTGTTGAAAAAGTTGCTAGCCACCCCCAAACAGAATGACCAGAATAATCTACCAGCTTCAAGTGGCTCTTCCGGAAGTCAGACAACCACCCCATCAAGGAGATTTAGTGAGGTATGATCAGAGTATTGCTTCCATCCAAATGGAAATTTAGGTGCTTTGGCACATTTGCTTCATATATCACATGTCTAGTGGAAGTACATAATCTGAGTATGTACAGTATATGCACCAACAAGTATGCCTATGATCCAACAGTCACTTCTCTTAAGTCTGCTTAATAATACATTTGTTGAATGCAGCTGTTTAACTATGTGCAACCAATTTCAAATGACAGTTTTTCTTCATAAAAATGAACATTTACACACACTACGAAATTATAATACAACCCTGCATGTTCATGACCACATTAGGTATAGTCATTATATCTTCTTTATGACCATATTAGGAGATGGAGGAGAATATGAAGAAGTTGACACCTGAGCAACAAAGACAGTTAGCTATGATAGAAAGTATGCCTCTCATCAGGGAGACGGAGGTACCTGCCGAGGAGTGGGAGAAGAAAACAACTGAAGAAAAACAAAAGATATTGGGTAAGAAGATACAAGAGATGGGTAAGAGGTTTTATTTGGTATTTTGCTGTTGTCTTTTGTTTGATAAGAACTATATAACAAAATCTACTAACCTCTCTATCTGTTGAGACGAGAATAAGGAGAATTTGACACTGCAGTTTCACCAATATAAAATAAGGTCCAAAAAGAATATCAGTTAGAGAATGCCAGATATGACACATAGTTTAGATAAGAGTTCTGGAGTATATGATGCTGTTATGACAAAAGTAATGCTTGGCTGCCACAAGAAGGGGCCTAATTTTAATTATGATTAAGGGATTTTTCTATTGATATATCTTATTTTTTGTATGGTAAAACAGCATACACTGCCAAAGAAAATTTCAGAGGAAATATCCCACAATTTTCACATATGTTGTATTGGTACCATCAAATGTGTTGTATTTTTTTATTCAACGCTTAAATTTTAACATTTGAATCAATTTTATATATTTGCAGAACTGAGGGAAGAATATGAAAAACGACGTCGTGAATTTGAAGAGCGTCAACAACGAATTATCCAACAACAACCAGTGAAAGTAAAGAAGAAGAAAAAGAAGAAGGTGCAACCACCCCCTATCCCAGCCACATTACCCCCACCTGCCACAAATACCCCTAGCCCAGCAGATGGAGGCCCAGATGCCAAGAAACTTAAAACAACAGACACTTTGGATGATATCATCGGAGCAGTTGCATCAGGGGAGATTATACCTAGCTCTCCCACATGGGAACATAGCAGTCCATCCTCTATGCAAGAACTACAGGATCTCCAGCCTGAACCTGATGGCCCTGAGCCCGCCCCTGATGCTGAAACTGTTATACAGGCTATTATGACCAGACTGAAGGAGTACCCACTGAAGGTGGAGCTCAGAGAACCTGCTGTACACACAACACAGAACCCTTACCCACTCACAGGCAGTGGTAAATTCACTGGTAAATATACACATTGAGGAATTCATGCTTTGTTTGTTTGTATTTACAAGACTTAATTAGTTTAAATTGATTTATTCATTCACTAAAAGTTATGGACTTTGTTTCTATATTATTACAGAACCCACTACTCTGCGGGGTCAGTATGGAAATGCTAGAATAGATCACATCCCAGATTTCTATCACCACCAGCCATTTGGTCCTGAGCCTCTCCTTCCCCCTGGTATCATCCAAAGGGGTTTGTTTGGAGACATGAATGGAGCCAGGCGGCGCTTCCTCATGGATGGCACCTCTTCTCCTGCACCAGGTATGATACCAGTCTATAATACTACTGCTAAATTGTATAGATATGTGGGAGCACTAGAATAGTAGCGGTTTATCTCTTCAAATGTACTCAAATAATGTTTATCTACACCATGGTATTTGCTTTTGTATTATGTATCTTTTTTCATTTAAAGTAAAATTGTGTTCTCAAGCAAAAGAACTACTAGATTCTGCACTCTGTTGAAGATAACATGCCACCTTTCTCGGAAATCTGTTAAAAGGTTGAATTATTGAATTTATTTTGATCTAGTCAGGTTGAATCGGGAGATCACTAAAATATGTCAGTTAGCAATGCTTGAACCAAAGTTCTCTCTTAAGCAATGTAGCTTGACTGACCTTATTATTACATTGTATTGCATTCAGGTCCTGAATCAGAACATCAACGAGGTGTGATAGGTGAAGGCTCTAGTGGACCGCTGTCTTTACGTCAAGGTCTCCTACCTGATATGAGACAGCCTGTGTGCTACCCTAGTCCACCTCTAATAGGCCCAAGGCCTGCCTCTGCAGCAAGGTAAGTTCAGGTTTTATCTTTTTAGCTCATGAGCATGTGGTTTACCTATTGTAATCAAACAGGTGTCTTTTTTCACTTAATTTCATTTTTCCGAAAGGAGCACGTAGGTTATCGCAAACAATTTAAGAAGGTTATATCTTGGATAATGACTATTTTCTGACAATGAAGACAGGTTTATCTTTTAGATCAATTCATTATCTCAAAGAAAATTATATACAGTAATAATAAAATCAAACATACTCGGAGATATTTAACTAGCAATCAACCCATCAACACACTTTTTCAAAGATGTTGACCCCATTTTCACCAAAAATGCAATCATTTTTTACAATGTTTAATGCATTACTATTTTCTATTTTGATGTATCAAATAGTTCTTGAAAGAAAAACTTAATTGCTTTAAGATAAGTGTTCCCCATGTTATTTCTCCATTGAAAAATCTCATGCTATCCATTGGTTTCAGTTCATTTTGGTCATCCGAATTCAGTATCTTTAAAGTCCATGGAGCAATCAACTTTTCCTTTTAGGAAATCGAACATGTCTCAAAGCACATTCTAATTATGCATTCTACAATATATTAAAAAGTTGCATTTTTGGTGAAAATTAGGTCAACATTTTTGAAAAAGTATGTTGATTGGTCCATTGCCCCTTCAATATCACTTAGGTCTGATTGACTAAATTATCAATATATAAACTTTTCTTGAAGATAATGAATGGATCTAAAAGATACACCCATGTTCATGATCAGAAAATATTCATAATTCAAGTTAGAATCATTTGAAATTGTTTGCGATAACCTACATGCTCCTTTCTATTTCTTAACCAAATTTTTAAATTTTGCAAATTTTAATTTTTGTACAAATAATCTGATATTCTGGTATCATTGGATAAGAACTTTATTCATATGAAGAGATTTTTAGTAAGCATAAGTTTTTGTCATGAGCGATGATACCTAATCAAGTATTCTTTCATGTTTTTCTTCAGGTCTGTCAACTCTCCAGACACAATAATCTCATCATCGTCTCCTGAGTGTGAATTCAAGGGGGAGAAAGTGAAGTTCCCTGGACTCCAGGTCATCAAACAAGAGGGAGAGGAACCAGATACAAGACCTATATCTCCTCTAGTTCCCATCATTGCTCCAATTCCAATAAAAGGTATGTGCAGTTTGGTCTAAAACTCGTTTTGGAGATACAAAAAGTGAAGTCATTGTTTTTTTGTTTTTTATCATTTGTCATTTCTGCTGTCTAACATGTTATTACTCCTTCGAAACCATTTACAATTACCTATCAAGTGTGGATATTCTGTCATATAATGCTTTTTCTATAAAGATTGCAGTTATACGTGATATAGATACATCATTTGAAAAAAGATGGCACAATTTCTCAAGATATTCAATTTACAATCTTCAGCAAAAGTAATATTCAGAGAGTATGTAATTGTAATGTTACCCACATTTCATGATTCCGACATACATGTATACAGTAATGATTCCCACATTTCATAATTCCCACACTCAATGATTCCCACATTGCATGATTCCCTCATTGCATGATTCTGATTAACCTTTCCAGCTGAACCCATAATTAAAGAAGAGAATGAGAAAGAGCTGAGTTTGGAAAAAGAGATCAAAAAGGAGAAACCAGATGCAGGCTATGAGGACTTCATCAAGGAGAAAGAAAATATTGGCGCTCTGGTAACAGATGGCTTGAAGTCTAAAGTGTCTGCACTCAGTAGCACATTAAGCAAGCCCCTGCAAGATGCAGGGAACCAGGTATGGAGCTTTAGTTATATGCATTGTCTGAAAATATGTAGTTGATGTGTAATTTTTATGTAAATTGTATGCAAACTTCTGTTTTCAAGCACATTCATCAGGTCAAGAAAATAATTCTATGATTTTGACCTTTCAGCAAAATTTCAGCAAAATTTTTGTTATTATTTATTTTGTTGCTGTATTATATCAAAAACACCTGCTATTTTATTTAATTTTCAGATAATGCATTACTAAAAGATGTCACTTGTAAAGGAGTATATGTTGTATGTGTTATTTAGGTGTCTGTTACATTGACTGTGTCAGAGCATGCTGCAAAAGACATTGGTAATGTCATATCTGCCCTGGCTGACCTACTGAAGATCTCTGTTCCCCCACAATACCAGATCTCTAGAAGCCCATCCCCAGAACTCTTCAAAACAGGCTTTGTAAAACGTGAGCTTAGATTATAAATTAATTTTATTGTATTAATTCAATTCATCCAGATATCAAAGCGTGTGAATAGCGTGGTAACATTCCATAAATATGTAACTGCTATCTATTTTCATTAGATTATAACGACATATTATTGTCTCTATATTGGTTTCTGTCTCCTATTTCATTATCCAATACACTTCTTTGTCAACTTTCAGACAAAGAGGAAGCAATAAACATCCAGTCCCTCATCAAGTCAAAGCCTAAGTTCTGTCGTCACTGTGATGTGCTCTGTATCGCTGGCGGAGGCATCAAGAAAAAAGTATCTGAATTTCCGTTCCTCTCCAAAGAGGACCAGGTGAGCCTTTAATTATTCATTCTACCTTAGTTTAACAATTATACTTGCAGTATACCTCTTCAAGTGGAACATACAATACCCATTGAAATTAGTGAACCTATGTTGAACACCTCCTCGAATACTATTTGCATTCACCCAGTTAACAATGAGAAAATCATGCAACATTAGCATATTGTAGTATGACCAATCATTTTGAAAATGAGAACTTTACTTCCACAAAAACATCTCTGGAATAATGCACTTAATAGAATTCAATACACACCGCACCATTAAGTAAATTTTACATGTGCTTCAAATTGATTATAGCCTTTGCCCTTTAATGCAGTCTTATTTCCTTGGTGGTTTTGATATGAAGTCATTAGTTTGATGTTTTAAACCAAATGAAGTTGAATGATAAAGAGCCTTTTTCCCATATCAGCCTTGATGACATGATTCACAATGATCTATTGTTGCCGTGTGTGTGCGTATATATTTAGCTACATTTTCTAGTACATTACTGTGCTAATGGATAAAACAATATAATGACATAATAATATATTTTTCAATTTTGCTAATGGGTTGCCTATGTCCCTAATGAAATTGGTTTCTCATTTATTCAACTATTTCATGAAGTATTGAAATTAGTTTCTCATTTATTCAACTATTTCATGAAGTATGTGACACAGTTTATAAAAATATTAGAATACATATCACTTTCATTTCAGGGTTGATATGAAATTCCATTTTGAGCAATGAAATACATTTTTTATATGTGGAAAATGTTCGAAATTTATATTTTCTCCAAAACTGGAATTTCTCACAACAGGCAACATTAATGGAAATCATAAATTTAACATGGAAAAGATAAAAAGTCTCTAAAAACAACAGGCGATTTGATGGAAACAACCAGTGAAAATCGCCTGTTTCCTGCTACTAATTAAACCACTGCAAAAGTATTGAGTAGATCACAAATGTTACATCATGTTTCAGATCAGATCCTCAAAAAATCTTAAATGGCTGTCCAAATGAAATGCAGGGTATTGTTCTCATTTACAAAATGACCACCCAAAAAACGAGTTCTGTTTTGAAATACTGAACATCAGAATCTTTGGGAAACAGCCCATAATGATAAGTGTAAACATTTTGTTTGTTTTGATTTGTGACTGCTTTCTGTGGAGTTCCCATTTTTCTAGTTTTAACTCATAAGTCAAATGGAATTTGTTCCCTTTCGGCTGCTCATGTGAATTGTTTTTAATTCGTATTTTGAATACAATCGGAAATCTAAAAATTCACAATTTATTCATGAAGTGATCCATCATAGATGCGCCACTCTTAGAATAAAGGATTACAGGATTTATTTTAATTGGCATAATCCTGATAACAGTTCATTTCCATGGTATCTTTGTGATCTTAGTCAGATTATTGACAGTTTCGCATTTCAATAAAAACATAATTCAAATACCTACTTCTGTGTGCCATTTTCTCCAGATGACACAATGATCCCAAATAATCTGTCATAACTAAATTGATGAAATGTCATGCACTCGTGTGTAAATGTTGACAGATGATAGAAACTGTAATACAATTGACTTATTTTATCATTTAAATGACTCCTGGGTGCTTATCTGCCTTTTATGCCATTTTCTAGTACAAGCATCTAGGCATCTAACATGCATTTGTAATTATGTGACAGGCAGAAACTGTTTGGCAATCATTTGTTCAAACAACTGAATGTACTTATGTGTAATGGATTGTAATTTTCAAGGCTAACACAACCTAATTCAATGATATATATTTGACATTCAGTAATTATGTGGGTGTGATGTTAGTTGGGCGAAAACATAAATTCAGTTTTGATCCATTCGTGTGTTCAAATATTTTACTTAGACGATGTTTGTGTTTCATTAATTCATAAATAGCGTAGCTAGGTAATACTTGTGTAAATGAAAATATGCTTATATGATTGGTGGCGTAGGATTGTGTAAAGTCAGCAGAATAAGCACATTCTATCATATGAATAACTGTATTTCTGCTCGTATCTGCACATAGCTACCTTGTCTATGTATTAACATAAATGCCTAATTAAAATGACTTGTACCTATTTATTATATCAATGTCAGTTTGAATAATGGCTTGTCTTTCTCTTTCCTGGCATTAACCAAAAATCTATTCACACTTGAATAATGGCTGTATAATTTATTATCCCATCGAACAAAGTTCGCAGGGATATAGGGAACTCCTCCGTCCATCCGTCCGTCCGTACATGCGTCCGTCCGTCCGTCTGTCCGGGCAATGACTCAAATACTGTTGTCCTGATTTTGTTAATATTGTGTACACATATACTCTATGGGAGTAGAAGTTCTGCTTGAAAACTGATTTTCAAAATGGCCACTCATTTAAAAATGGCGGCCATTTTAGTGCCGATTTTACAGTAATTTAGGTGCAATATGTAAAACTGTAATAGCAATATGTTATAAATGTAAAAAAATTATACAGGACATTAATTTTTTTTATATTTTTGTTACCATTTGTAGGTATTAACATTTTGTTTTGTTAAGACATTTTTTATTGTTGACCTCAGATTCTCTTTTTGGCTCACATGTCCATTTGTCTGTCCATCTCTCTGTCAGTCTGGAAGTCCCTCTGTTGGTCTGTCCATCCAACTGTTGGTCTGTCCATCCAGCTGTTGATATGTCCATCCAAGTGTTGGTCTGTCTGTCTATCCATAGTATCTATTTCACCTGGTATCGCCACTTTCCATTTCTCGATTATTGGTTGAGAAAATGTCACTATGGATGGTTTAAATTGATATATGATGGATACCAGCAGGGGACATGGCTGCTAAACTGTATTATTGTCTTAACTGTACAGAGGTATGTCATCGCCATTTTAAGAAAACGACTCATCAGAATTTTTTGCGCACATGCTACAGATTAAGCTAAGTTCACACCAACGGCGCTTTGATGATACTTTTAAAGCGGCTTTGCACGGCGCTTTAAAGCGCCATCAAAGCGCTGTTGGTGTGAACTTAGCTTTACCAATTTCTACAGCTGATTAAAGTTGTGGGTCTTTGGGAGTGTGGGAGTGTGGGTCCTTTATTGGCTAATCACAAAAATTTGCATATTCTTGTGATTAGTCATAATTCCTATGTTGATAAAATCATCATTATTCATCAATTAATTATTGGCGTTTGAAAATACAAAACAAGATGCAAATGAATTCGAGAACATAAGTAATGAGAATTTCTTCTGATAGAAATTAAAAACTATGTTTTCTTGTAATAATCGTACCCAGCTTTCTGATGGCCTTGTGAATTTATCTGGTAATTATTTACCATAACATAAATATTTGCTTTGCTAATTGCAGCCATATGAAATGATTAGGATGAAACTTTCATTTATTTTTTATTTTTTAGAAAATCTGTTCAAACTAATTCAGCTCAGAGTTTTAGCCTGTGGCGTGTTTATTAAATGACAGAATGGGTTTAAAGTTTAGTACTGAGCCTGATAAACATTACATTAGTTGAATTTAATGTATGAATAATAATATCAAAGTGTGGCCTGAATGATTTCAATATTGCATGTTTTACAAGAATCATGTCATGAAATTGTTATTTGTGAAGTGGAGCAAATGACGCCTCATGTCTTTGATTACTGTAGTTAAAACATTTAATTAAATCATGTAATGGGATTGTACTTAAAAGGTTAAAATATATCTGAGCATGAGATATCTCGATGGCATTATTTTTATGTAGATTTACCCCCAGGCCTCAAATGGTTTCTCTTCATCAGAATGAAGTTATTTAACATGGCTCATTAATCAAATCTCTAGTTTCCTTTCAACTTATTGTTTGATAAATGTTTCTTTTAATACTGCTCTATAGTATTTCATGTTAGGATTATTTTATGTTTCCTATTGTCTTTCCAAATGTTGCCCTTTGTGAATTCTCTTTCTTCGCTGTCTGCAAGATAACAACATATATTTTGCAATGTCTTATAATTTAACATCTGCAACTGAATACAGTACTTCTACCTCACTTGTAAATTACCATCTCAAACAACAATTTATGGGTGCATTGTGCTTTAAGATTAATGTATAAAAATGAGACTGCATTGTATTCTTTTTTCTAGTATTTCTATTAATACCACATTGTGCCAAGTCTAAGTGAACTTCTATAGTTATAGCCTTTCACGTCATAATTCACATTTGAAGTTCCAGTTGAAGCATTTACAATAGACGAGTCTAGTAGTATAATGTGGAGTTCATTTTCTACAATGAGACATCATCTCATAATCGTTATGTAATCATATAAAGAATAAACTGTTTGCTTCATTGGCATAGGTAATTGATTAACAACAGTTCCCTTTGGAGGTGTCTGAACTCATCCCACGATATCTGGCTTCGGTGCTCCCAAAGATGACCTCAACAACAAGAATAGTTTTTATCTCCCTGTAGATATTTATTCACCTGAAGTTCATGCATCAACAAAAGCGAACATTTCAAACCATATGAACTCAAATCAGCATGTCTCTAGGCTAAGTTATTAAACCATGGAACACAATAGAATTCTATTAAAAGAAATCAAATTAACTCTTCTCTTGAAGCCAGAGATCTTACGTGATCTCAAGTTAGTATATTGAGAAATCTTAGTTTATCGCAACATTATACAATGTAATCCACTTTTTCAATCCTTCGTTAATTGCCTGTCACCCTTTTATGCAAGATAGATGAGTGTTTCTATAAATCCTCAACTGACATATAATTATGACACTGCTTTAATACGAGAACATATTTTGATAGCATCAAAGGTACACAAATTAATTAAAAAATGACAGGAAATATCCTCTTAGTAGTCTGTCTACTTGCTCTGTCATCATCATTAACCAATCCATATTTTAAAATCAATCAGTATATAAATATTTATTTCGTAAACATCTTCAAATATTATGAAGGACTCACTTTTGTTTTTGTTGATGTTTACTGATTCTTTGTTTATGTTTACTACAAAAATAGTTCCAAGA